TTAAATATTTAGTGACAACAAATTGACATATACGATTGATTATATTTGATACGTGTGAATACCGTACTATTATTTCTTTTTTCTTTTTAAAATTTACACACACATTTTAAAAAATATCAATCTATATACCTTTTTGTAATATATAAAATGGAGCACAAGTTATCATCTATTTTTTAAATTCATAATTATATTAAAAAATATATAATTATTTATATATTATATCTTGTGTATTTAAAAAATGGATATACATATATTAAATGAATGAAAGAGAGAAAGACATAGTTACGAGCTATATTCATATATAAGTTTTGAAATGAATACAAGAAATAGTTCAGTATTTGAATATATTTTATCTTACATTTTGAATAAAAAAGGTTGTGCTCTATCAGATCTCAGTAGACTGACACAAAAGATTAAAGAGGTACTCTCAACGAGACTGACTCGACGCTTAATCGCAGTCAAAAGAAATAACGTCATTAGACGCGGACGGTTTCCGCGGATTTAAATTCTAATTCAGACCGGACGACTTGGTGGAGGCTGGTTAATTTCGCTGGACGACGGCGAATGCCGACGAAGAGGCCTCCCCGAAGGAATTTGTAAATTCGACTCGGGTGGAACTTTTAATCGTCCATCAGGGAAGAAACGAGGTGCACAGAACTTTTCGCATAATAATTCTTTCGTACCAACTCACGGCGGAATCCTGCACCGCTATAATCGTTCCCAGAAAATAATCGGGAACGTTTTCCACATGCATTTTGAACGCGTCAGTTACCTCGCGGTGCTCCGATAAAAATTGCTGCCAGATAACTTGTTTTTTCGTTCTCCATTGTTTTTTTTTGCTGCTATTGTCTTGAATATTTCGTATTCGCCACCATATCGACAAATTAACTTCGCGCTATTGGTGTTTTATACGTATCGAGAGTAATTGAACGAATAACGATAATAACCAATACGGGCTATTGGACCGTAATGGCCTTATCGTATTGTCCTTACTATGACTTGTATCTGTTCAATTACTTTTGATATAAAGGACCAATAACATAAATTTAAAATAGCGGAAATTGAAGTAATGATAATAAAGCTAATACTAATCGTTGAATACTAATTATCTAATGGTCTAATGACTCGTACATTGTAATAACAAGTGCATTCATTCTTCAAAAACAAAATTATTATTTATCGATATCCTATTGTATAGATATAATTAACAAATTATACTTGTTTAATTGTTAATAATATGTAAAATTAAATATCACGTAAAATAAACAATAGACAAACAGATAAAATATCAATCAACAACGAACTTTGGTCGAATATATTGCAAAAAATAATTTACGTTACTACGTATTAGCAATAACAGAAATTATATATACAATGGATCAAATAGATAATTATAAATGTTACGCGACCGATGCGAGGTTTGCACGAATGTGCAAAATACTGCATTCGCATATACAATCGTAGATGTTGCAGGCTCACTTGGGAAATCAGCCGTTTCTCGTTGCGCACTTGATAAATGCTACGCGGGGAAACGGGTCCGATAATTGCGGTTCTTCTTGTTGCATAATGAAAAATCCGAATTACTCGATTGCACATTACAGACGATTTCATTCTAACAAAAGATAAAGGAACTAGTTATAAAACATAAACACAGCATAATAATAAACATATTTATATAACGATAAAATTAATGAAGTCGCCAGTGATGAGTAAAATCATAAAAATTTATTGAAATTTCGACCTAACTGGCCAGTACAATTTAATTAGAAACACTACGTTTCGACCCTTAGGTACGGGTCCTTTTCAAGTGTAACTTTCAAGATATTGATTCGACAGCAGTAAATTATTAATGATTAGTAATTTTACTGCTGTCGAATCAATATCTTGAAAGTTACACTTGAAAAGGACCCGTACCTACGGGTCGAAACGTAGTGTTTCTAATTAAATTGACTGGCCAGTTAGGTCGAAATTTTAATAAAACATATTTATATTTCTTTCAAAAGTCTATGCCAATTGTTTAGTAATTAATTATATTAAATTACACATAATAATTAAACGTAATAATACTTTATAGAAGATTCTATTTTATTTATAATATTATTATTTTATACATTTAGAAGATTTCACATACATGCCTACAACTAAAAATAAAATAACATAAATAATATAAAATAAGATAAATCATTTACAAAATTATGGATATCCTAATTACATAATAATTGCAAAAATAACTTTTATTAATTTTTGACAAAATTGATATGTTTCATGTGTGAGAATACTAAAAAAACATTATATTGCTCTGTCACAATCAGAAATCATTATATTAGCTTTAGGATGAGCGCTTCTTAAGAAAAATTTTATTTCATGAATTTCTTCTTAAACAATTTAATAAATGTATATAAAATACCTCTAATGTAAGTTTGACTACGATAACTTTAATTTTACATTACATGTATTTTATCAATGTGATTGTAAATCGGTAAATTGGTAAAGATAATCTGTTTTCCCAAAAATGTTCAGCTCTTCTCTCTTTATACATATATCTCCAAAATTTTATTACATTAATTTATGTATGTACATACAAGTACAAAACATATAAACATCGCTTGGGCTTTTGTAAAATTTTAAATTAAATATGAAATAAATAATCACCGACTCACATCATCATCATCAATGTTAACGTAAAATCAGATTCGACCTTATTAAGTAGAATTTTTACAATCCATTCTATCATAGGCAAATTAAGTAAACGAATGTATGTTAAAACAAAGAAAATTGGATGCTATTTTTATGCAAGAGAACTAAGGATATTATCAGAATGGTTATCGCTGTCAATTTCACGAATCGTCGCGCAGCCGCGATATGTATTCGCAATGAACGCTCTCGAAACACTTTCGTTGCCGTTCGGTCAGCAGATGCTATGAATTTTAAGCGGGCCTCCGTCGTCTGCTAAGGTCATACCGAGTGAATTTCGATAATAGCGTATACAGTTTCCGAATAATAATCAGCGTTAATTGCATTTGCACATATATTTGTCTTCGTCTGCATATAATGTGTTTATAAAAATGTCGTTAATGTACTTCCCTTAAATTGTAACTCTGTCAATATTCTGATGATTTTTCTTATTTCTTAAATTTTAATTAAAAAATTAATTATAAATTTTAATTTAATTATAATTAATTATAATAAAGTTATATGTCATACACATACGTAAAGTGCATAGGTACTCTTCCAAAAAATTTTTACGTGCTCTTTCTCTCTTTCTAAACTTTTTCTCTCTCTTACATGTAACACGCATGCATACACATATTCGCAAATCTTAAGATTCACAGTAGAAGAAAGTATTTTACTGGCAGATAAAAACTTAATACATTTGATTAAAGAATGCAAAGAAATACAATGCCATATTTAGAGTAACCAACTCTTAATCAATCAATTTCGGGATATTAATCTAAAAAATCGGGATACAATAAAAAAAATCGAGACTTTTATTGGTATATTTTTAATTTTGAAACAATACGATTCCAATATTGCAGTTTTAATGTATATTATTTTTTAATATAAATAATAGTTAATTTAAAAATAAACTGATAAAATTCTTAAAATAAAATTAATAAACAATATTATATAATCAATCCAACATTAAAGCAATAAAAAAATCAATATACAATTTTTTTCTTATCATACAAAATAGAAATAATAAAATTCTAGAGTTAATTTTATATTTATATCAAATTTTAGCATGATCTATTATCGTTTTATATTATTAAAAATTAAGTGAGAAATCGGGACAAATAATGTCCCGTCTATTTTGATTCTTTTAAAGTTTCTAATGAACGTTAAAATTCAGAATGTCTCGGACCTCGGAAAATTCGGAACAGAGGGCAACCCCAATTATATTATCTCATACGCAGTCACTGCTTTAACGGTGCTTTTCTCGGAAGTGAAATAAGGATTAAGATTACGAGATAACGTTGCGAATCAAAGGACCGTCATAAAAGCGTTGCCGGCAGCGATACGGCGACAAAAGAAGCTGTGAGAGAGAGAGGAGAAGAAGTATCGGCGTATGGCTATTACTAATGGAAATAAACGTATTGCGTTCAAAGTTGTTGTGTGGAACTCCGAATTTTCAGTCTTTCTCAATCTTCAGTCGCAGTCGCATCGTTGACGTACGTTACGAAAAGTGAAGCATTACAATGTTTTCAAGAAAGAATACACGTTCTAAATCTAGTCTGGGGGTACAAAGTAAGTATAATATATTATAAATACAAATTTATGTATCTTTATTCTATGTGATTTAATAATTATTTGCTAATTACGTATTTATTCAAAGTTGACCAATTTACGAATCAATTGTGTAGTATTCGATTTTATAAGATCAATATTCTCTTGTTATATTCATTTTTATTGATTTTTTCAACAGCTCTGATAGAGATTGATGCCAATACTGAAAAAAATATTCATATAGATATACTTTTATTCATAAAAAAAATATAACGTACTGTCAGTTAAAACAGAATCAGACTAACAATAAAATAGAAAAAAAACATCCTTTGGGATTAACCATCTTTGTATGGGAAAAAATTTTCTCTCTCTCTTTGCAGAAAATGTTCTGTTCACTTCTCTGCTTTATTTTTTCGTGTATAAAAATGAGATTTGTTCTAGTCTAGCGCCATTTGAAGTATTTCATGTACAATATTACAGAATTAAATAAAGTCAAGTTTATGTCGAAAAGGGAGAAGTTTTATATGAGAAAATTGATGTTCGAAAAACTAATAAGATTTATAATATATTGGCATGCAGGCTAATAGCAGCAACGTATATTTATAAATACATATGCAATTAAAATTAACTTTATTTCTTTTTTATTATTTAACAATAATTGATTGTCAATTTTTTCGCGCGCGTTAGTGTTAATATAAATTTAATAATATAAATAATAATTATTTTCAGAGTCTGAAAAATTAGCTGCTATTATTAAAATTAAAGTAGAAGATAAATCATCATTTCGATGCGTGGTGTGTGGCAACATGTATCCACGCCGTTTTAATGCTGAACGTCATTATAAGCGGTTTCACGAAACCACACAAACGCGGAAATGTTGTGGTAAATATATTTTTTAATTATTTATTATAGTATGTGTATTACACATAACAAAAAATTTTCAATCGTATCAAACATTTTTTCTCAGTTGATGCATATAAATAGGATGATATTCGGTAATTCGAGTTACATATATGTATATATATTTATTCAATTTGCGCACACACATACATATCAGAATAACTATATAAAACACGTATAATGTTGTTTAATCGAAAAATTATATAAAATATAAAAATATATCATTTTAATATCATAAGTTGCATTAAAATAATGAGAGAGAATATTCTGTTTATTCTTAATAAAACGATAATTTACGATATTTAAATATTAAATGATATCATGATAATCACTAGGTGATGATGATAGGTGATATGCAAATTAATTAAAATGCTAACAGCAGATAAAAAAATGATACTGAAAAATGATACTTTTAAACTTTTGAATAATAATTAATACACACAAAGTCTCATCGATCAGATAAAATGCACTATGCATATTAATGTAGAATAATTTAATCATATGCTATATATATTTTATAATTATATTATTATTTCTTCAACAATAGTGAAAATTTCCGATGTTGGCAGCAAGACATGTAAAATTCATTTGGCACACAATGTAAATAAAAAATAATATAAAACACAATTAATATAAAAATATAAAACAATCAATATACGTAATATATAAAACACAATTAATATAAAAAATAATAATTACATTTATATATTTATTTCTAATATTGTTCAAAAGTCATCAGTATGTAACGTAAAATTTATAGATATTAAATCTTTTTTTTTATTGATTGTCATATAAATTTTAAAGTAATGCACAATATAATAGGATCACTTCTCTATTAATTCTTTATTAATTTATTAATCTATTTATTTATTTTTATTTTTTATTAATACTTTTTACTATAGTTTTCTTTTTATATGCACAAAACATTTGTTATATTAATGTGTTGCGTAAATTATATAAGTATATTAAAAATATTAAATATATGTATACTTTTATATATATATATACATATAAAAGGCAATAAGAGCTAATTAAGTTCTGTTATTAATATTTATTTGTGGAAAAAAATTTATAACATAAAATATTAGACAAAAAGTTCGAACGTTTCGGTTGCCTTTTCCAACCTTCTTCAGCGCATCATTTAAAATTAAAGATTAATAGAAATTAACAATAAATTATTCATAACTGTCAATATACTAAAACTATATAGAAACAGAGTTATTCGCATAAAACTACGTCAAGATATTATTTTTATAAAAAACGAAATCAACGCATTTTTTAAAAGCATGAGCATTTTTATATATTCTATTCCTCGAATCGTCATTTAATGTAATTGTCGCGAAACAGATCTCTCGCTAATTATTCCGTTAGAAGGTCATACGTTATTGTTACCTCCAGCTATCAACATCTGTAAGCCTCCATGTCACAATATAACATCTTACTTGATTTAACTACATATTAACAATTGCTGTTATCGAGAGTCGCAACCGACCTCCTAACGGAACAATTAGCGAGAGATCTGTTTCGCGACAATTATATTAAATGACGATTCGAGGAATAGAATATATAAAAATGCTCATGCTTTTAAAAAATGCGTTGATTTCGTTTTTTATAAAAATAATATTTTGACGTAGTTTTATGTGAATAACTCTGTTTCTGTATAGTTTTAGTATATTGACAGTTATGAATAATTTATTGTTAATTTCTATTAATCTTTAATTTTAAATGATGCGCTGAAGAAGGTTAGAAAAGGCAACCGAAACGTTCGAACTTTTTTGTCTAATATTTTATGTTATAAATTTTTTTCCACAAATAAATATTAATAACAGAACTTAATTAGCTCTTATTGCCTTGTATATGTATATTAATTTTTAAAGAGTTGTTACAAATTATATTATATATATATATTTTATATAAATAATTGTTATAAATAAAATATATATAAATATGTATTATATATATATAATTTTTTAAAACGTTTTATTTCATCAATTCGATATTAATGAGATTAATAAGAGAACAATTTTTCAGATGAAATATTTCACACAAAAAGTGAATACTATGACCACAAGGAAAATGTGCATAATGAGAGGAAAAGGTACGGAAGAAAATGGAAAGAAGAAACCCAGTCTTTGGACTCTTCCATTGAATGTAATACAGTCACAATAAACGAATCCGAAGACAGCGCGTTACATGTCCTTTCTCACATGCAGAAAACGAAAATACAAACTTCATTGCCCGTCGAAACTGCCAAAAGAACATCTAAAAGACGCACGAATACAAATACTACTCATCACGCGCAGAATAATATTGAAAATTTAGAAAACATCGAAAGAAATAACGAATCAAATAATGAAGAAAAATCTAAGAATAATATGTGGCAATTTGTCGAATCTCAAAAGATCTTTATTTATCGAATGCAATTAAAAACTAATACAAGTCAAAACAGCGCACCGTTGCGAAGTATTGAAAATTTTACTGATAATTCTTTTAATAAACCAAGAAACAATGCGTTGCAGAATGTCGTAAAAGTGAGTTCGAGTGTCAAAAAGAAAATGTAATAATATATGACTGTGTAGCTACATCGGTTTCAGACTTAATGCAGCTTATGAGAAACTCTATTGATTTTTAAAAATAAAATATTTTTTTAACTTAGAATATAAGTAATAGTTTTATCTCTCTAGAGCATATATTTAAAATAAGATTATATTTAGAAAATAGCATATATATAATTACACATAATATCTTACTTTTTTTTATATTTTTTTAAATTATATTTTTTAAATAATGTTAATTACTTTCTTAATTATACGAAACATATATAGGAATATAAAAGGTATAAAAAATGATTATTACACAGAGAAATTAATATTTTTAATTATTTTTATATAAAACGATAAAACTTGAGATTTCTAATATAAAATATTTTCATATATGTATTTTATTAAAGATTAAGTAATATGGTTAATGCCATTAAATTGTTTAAAAAACAAAAATAAAAATTGTTAAAGTTTAATTATACTGAAGTTTAATTATACTCTTGTAATTGCCCCTTGTAAAGTTTTTTGCGTTTTTAGAGTACGTTTTTAACTTCTTAACTGCATATAATGTATACATCTTGAGAGTGGCCTCTTATCCGATCGTCAATTTTGCTAAATGCAAGAAACGACGAAGGAAGCAAGATTACGTTGTAGACAAAGGATTGAAATACTAAAGACTGCTTCGTTTGCAGAGTTGCTCTCGACATGCAAGAAAATTAATGAGGCTGTTGTCATTTGACTGGCAATTGAAACGGCCGTAGCATACAAGTTTAATTCTCAGAAGCCCCTCTGGCAAAACATTTTCATCGACACTATTTATTCTTTTTATTATACATTTCAAACTCTATCATTATATATATATATTCAACCTAATAGACTCCCAATATAATCTATTTCTTATATCCTTTTACTATATTACTAAACAACAAAACTTAACTGGAAAGTGTCTTAATCCAATAAGGGATGATAAGTGCAATCTGCAATTACTTCTCAAATACGTTACTTATTCTTAGACAGAAAATTCCGATTATTATATTCTCTTATAAAAAATATCCGCTATACGTGGCATCCACTCTTGGCAATAATTTAAAATGAAATGATGTATTAGCTTACTGTAAAATAGTAATCGAAGTTTATTTGATGTCCCGGTTTTATGTTTATTTAAAATAATAATTTATCTTTCTCTCGGGACGCGTGTGCAGATTTCCTTGTGTAACAGATTGCAATTCGATACGTGCAATTTACTCGGAGGTAAGTCATTCGTGCCTCCGCGGGAGACACTATATAATCGAATAGCGTGCATAGCTTCGTTGACGGATACGTCGCTTCCGAAATCACGTTGCAAACGGTGCCGGGATATTGCGTTTGCAATTTGCCATGCAAGTATGTTATTGGAAACGGCGGGCGGTATCTTCGATTTGATCGCCAGACACAATAAGCATGGTGATGCCAATTTCTGTTCACGGCCAGTTAACATTTGGCATTCTGCAAGTAATCGCGGCGCAATAAATCCGCGCGTGCTAGATCCGCGGCCATCGCGCGAGAACGTTACAAATTAATTCGTAATCCTGCGGAGGCACCGTCCGACAGCGTTCGCAATCATCGTACGTGCATGCGCGCATCAAACTCTCTCTCTCTCTCTCTTTCTCCCTTGAAAATTGCATTCATCAAAACATTAGTGCAGCCACTGTTGAATCGTCAAACGGTTCACAATTGCGAACGTTAACATTGAATTTCCCGTGCAACGGCAACCGGAAATATGAAAAAGATAAAACTCATACATTTTATACGTGATAAAACTAGAAGCGCGTATGATGATCGTTTGAAAAGTCTTGAATAATTTCTGAATTCGAACAGAAAAATTGACAATAAGATGTTCGATGTAATTCTTCTTCAATTAACTGTTGCAATACTGAAATAACTGAATAAAGAAAGAGAAAGAGTAGACATTTAATATTTTATATGAATATTTTTTTAGAAGATTAAAAGCATTATGATTTTTATTTGTTGCAAGCATTAATTTTGGTGTCGTCATCACGACGCAATAAAAAAGTCGAATACTAGTCATCGGTATAGCGTTTAAATTTTCAAAGGAACAAATGTTTGCAAACCTGGCTACGAACAAAACAAACAACTTACAAGTATCACGGGTCTAATTGCCATGTATTTCGCGAGCTCTTCTCTCTTTTCTTCGCATTCCCTTTTCTTACCCTTCAGACAAAGGCAAATTGCCAGGTAGCAAAAGTATAGTCATTTTGGTGTAATTTGACGTTCAGAATGACTACTTTTGCTACCTGAATTTATGCAAATGGTTCGCGATTATTATTTAATCATTCTATTGTACAATCATTTATCTTATAATTTAGATGCAATATAAATTTGCTGTCTCAACAACTAGAATAATATTGGCAAATATTTCTGAAGGAAAACAGATTTCACACTAGCTTTCATATAACAACAGTGCATGGACCTTGAAACGTGGCTTGGCGGGGTTCTCCTGGAAGAGAAGGATTGTAAGCCTTGCTAAGCTCGTGAACGTTTGCCGGACGCCGATAATAGGATTACCATAGAGAATTGTTTACTGAGGTTACTATATAGCCGTGCTACCGTACGGTTAATTGTTTTTACCCCTTGTATTTAACTTATGTGACTCAATTAATATCATATTTTTCACGCGATAATTACACGAAATGGCCATCGATGACGATAATGTGTAATTAAAATAATGATTTAAAATTATCAGGAATTTATATAATTGCACCAAAAGAACGTTTTCAAAATTGTATTACAGATATTTTACAATAAATTTTACAATATATATATATTACATACATATACATATATATATATATAAGAGAAAAATAAATTTCCAAATTATGTATAAAAGTTATAATTTTGTAAAACCTCTCTAACATAATCCTACAAAAATAATTAAATATGTTTAAATACCTCGTTCAAGTTTGGAGCGTTCTTGGAATGAAAATTTGAAATTCGGTAAAACTCCGCTCCAAGAACGTTCAATGAGATGCTTAGATCATTTCGCATATCTTATCATTATACTTTCGCATTTTTGTGGATGAGATATCTGCATTCCAGTAATCTTTTGCTTCCGGTAAAAGCAGAAAGAACCATAGAAGTTATATCGTTTTATTGTTCGTTTTGCGTTATTTGTTCGCTCAAGAGTGTGGTTTGGATAAAACGATTGAGTAAAAAGAGCAGAACGCTTATGGATCGTTAGTGGCAAACGTGCTGCAGGAGACGAGAAGAGCGTTTGTGCAATTTCGCGCGTGATTGTGTATATCGATATATACTGTATGCACAGATTTGTCCACGTACATATATAGTATGTCTAGATTTGTCCACGTTATCTGACACCCGAATACTACGGACAACAACGTACGTGCTAGTTCTAAACGAACAATCGTGCTTTTAATGGCATAATTTGGTAGCTGATGTACAAAAGTAGAGAAACGAGAAAAAAGAATTTTAAATATTATAAATTATATACTTTGCTTGGAAAGCAATTGCTGACATCAAGCGTTTCGTACAGTAAATCTGTTTTTCTTTCGTAGAAATATGTTATAAATTTTCTCGACAGCTTGTCGACAGCAAAATCGAGATAATAAAAGCGAGAGAAACAAAAATAAGAGCGCATGAGAGAGAGAGAGAGAAAGAGTAAAGCAAATAAACATTCCACAAATCGGTATGATGTATTGCGCGCAGCAACGTGAAATAACTTGCATCGGTTGTATTTAAACAAATAAATAAAAATTCCGAATAAAATACGTTAAAATGTTCATGTTAGTCTTCATTGGATGAATACAACGTAAATTTTTAAAAGTTTTACATTAAGAAAACTTTTGACCGTTTTTGATCAATTAAAACGAAAGAGATTTCTTTGTTCTGATAATTAATCATTTCAAAATTTTTACAATCAAAGAAGCGTATCTTATTTTATGATAGGATTATCATTATTATGTTAACTTATACGTATATACATATGTCGGCTCCAAGGAAAGACTCATTCAAATAACGAAATATACTACAGAAATAATAGAGATAGATCTATAAAATTTAAAATTTAAAAAAATTAAAATAATCTTGTATAACATTTACACAATTAATATCTCATAAAGATCTCTTTCGAAATTTTATAAATAATATTGACATGTAATAGCGTACATATGAGTGAAAGAATTATATGTGTATATTTTATATAATTTTTCTACCAAAATTCTCTGTAAATATAATTAGTTTTAATTTACTGTCATGATTTTTTTTATATCTGAATTTATGTATAAATTAGTATTATATGTAAAAATTTAAAAATGATAAAAAGAATTGAAAAATATGTGACATATCTTAAGCATATTAATATAGAAAACAAAGTTTTGACAATTTTAAGATGGAATTTTTTCGTCGTGCAACAATAACATACGAGTTCAATGTTACTTTCTGTTGGAAATTTAGGAGTTTTAAAAGTACATTATTTTATCCTATATGGTGATGTACATCTATAATCCTGTGAGAGGCTTACCTGCTGTTAATAAGAAAGGGAATATTCCACAACAAGATACCTTTATCACAATGTTTCCTAGTTTTGAAGAAGTTAATATTTTGTTTCTACATAGGAGGGACATATTGTATCAAACTCTTCATATATAATATCTATTCAGTATGATGAATATATATAATCCAATATTAAAACTTATTTTTATATGTCTTGGATAAAATAAATGTTTCTGTACAAATAAACTCAAATATTTAATTTGTATTTTATTTTTTCTTTTTATACGTATATTGACATAGTAACAGTATTACTATCAATATTCGCAATTGATTAAAAATAATCTAAATACTACATTATTTAGGACGAATTGATATACAATTTGATATCCCGGTAAAAGATTTTTTATGTATAGTCATACATAATAATATAAAATTATATAAATACATATGAAATTATATATAAGCTATTATATAATTTTATTACTTTATATATAACTTCATATAATGCTGATTGACACTTTTATATATATATATAATTATGCATATAACCAATAGATATTTCTTCTGTAGTGTTTTATATACAATTTGACATGATTATATATAAGCTCTCGTAATTTCTATATAAATTTATATAGTTATATATAGAAAGCATTTATAATAATTCATAATCATTTATATATGATTATATATAAAAAATTGTTTACCGGGATTTTAATATCAATATTCGGCGCGCGATAAAATTTTCTTGGTTAACTATCGCATTTAATACATTTAACTTTGATTGACAATCACATGTCAAGCTAATAAAAATGCATCGCTGTGACCGCATCGACAATCTTTCGCGCGATCACGCATGAACTCGCGAATATATGCGTTTTTGCGGATTGCAAATTTCTCAAGAATTTTCAAATCAAATAGCAGTAGTCTGCGGTGGTGGTGTCAGCGGCGTCCAAGTGTTCGACTGCTCGCCTGTAATCTCCGTGTCCTGTCGATGATGGTTGTGATGATGAAGATGATGAGGAGGATGACGATCAACGACCGCCGTCAAGTATCTTCTTTCGTTGTCCGGCTGTACCTCGTTCAAGGCATCCGCAGTTTGCTCAGGATAACCCATCGGAATATGAGGATGCTCCTTAGGAGGACTGTCGTACTCCACACTGACCGGGGAAGAAGTCTCCGTCTGCGGTAGAGCCTGCAAGTGCAACATCTGCGGTTGGGAGTGATGCTGCGGGTGCTGATGATGATGATGACGGTGCTGATCCGAGGTAGTTGATTGCACCGGCGAAGCATGTTGATACTCATGGACGTATTCATTTGCGTCCGTCGGAGCGACGGGTTCTCCGCTCTGCGGATGTAAACCATGATGCAGTCCCGTGTGCGGAATGGAGCCGTACGAAGACATCTGATGATGCAGATGGAGATTTAAGTTTAGATACGATTGCTGCTGCTGTTGATGCTGCGGCTGCTGCTGTTGTTCTAACGCGGTAGGGTGGATCCAGGACGAGTCGGCGCAGTGTCCGCCATGTTGTTCTTGAGATGGCACGTACAGGGTGCATCCGGACACGGTGGTCGTGGTGGATGCGGTACCGACCACGGCTCTCCCGAGGACTGTGTGCGCCGATGACGTCGATGACGGCGGCGAGGATGTTGGCCACTCTTGCGACGCAGCTGCTGACGATAAGCACGCGGGATTGAGATTCTGCAATGGTTCAGGACTGCGAGGCGACCAAGCCGGTGCTGTTACATAAGCTGTAGAATGTAGAAGAGGCATCGGCGTGTATGCGTCCGCGTGTTGTTCTGCAGATAGAGATCATTATTGAAATTGTTTGGAATAATTTCTTTTGAAAAGATATATTACATGTTTTGTTTATTACATAAGTATATGTATTGGTGTATGTGTGCTTTTTGATTTCAATAGACTTTGTATGAAAATTGATAATTGAAAAATATATATAATCCATAAAATTTATGTAGATTATATACATAAATTTTTAAAAATTAATTTTGAGCAGAAAAAAATAATGAAATAATTTCACGTACCATCCTGGACATATTTGTGTCTCAAAGTATAAGGAGCTGCTCTGCAGGTACTTCTGAGTCCAGAGGTGGTGACCGTGCACGAATTAGAAAAGTGATTGCCAACGCAAGCCGACACTTGATTTTGTGCGACGGCTATAGCCGATGCAGTATTGTATTCATATCCCATTGTAGGTTGCGGTAAGAACAATGCACCCGCATCTGCAAAATATTACATTATTATTTTAATAATAATATTTAGTTTGCTTTCGATTCCCCATTTGCGCCGAATAATCATTTTTTATTCATATATGTACATACGTATATTGTTATACATATATAGATTGACTTACATTGAGGATAAGTCTGTGAATCAGCGGGTCTCTCTTTAGCATCGAGGAATGCCTTCGCGAAAGGGTTGTACTTGATCTTCAGACTCGTTACTTCCTCGTTCTGATACGCTGTCACTGCGATGAATTGCGTTTCTGGGAAACGATACGTGAGAACCTGCATAAACGATGACGTTATTTGCATCCGTGTAAGTGAAATGATTAAACAGTACATTACATTAAAATTAACGATACAAATATGTAATTTAAAAAGAAAAGAAGCGAGGAAAGAAGAAAGTAAGACGTACTGTTCTCTGTTCCTCAGCACCCACTCGAACCAGATGAACACGCGGCTCGTACTTGTGCAATGAATTCAGCATGATCTGTCCATTACCGTTCGATTTGTTAGTTAACTTAACTTTTGCAAATGACACTGCCTCTTTCATCCAATGCGCCCCGAAATTCGGACTCTCCGGATGTATGTAAATCGGATTAGGCGGGGCCACTTCCGCCTTTCCGCCTGGTACCCATTCTCCATTAACATATTTCCACCTAGTATTATATAGTTTGATTTAAGCATTTTATTTGTAGATTAATATGTGATTTATGTATTATAAAAAAAAACGAAATGCACCGAATATGCATTCACTTCTCTCAAAATATATAAATTTAGATTTTACTTATGTTTTTCTTGTAGAGAAAATGTGTAGAAAAATCATGTAGATCGATTCGACGAAAAATATTCGAGATTTAATATTCGCGAGCAATATAGAAATTGTTTTTTTGTATTCTTTTTTGATTGTCTTCTGAGATTGTTTTGCGAAAGCTATTATGAGCTCTCGAATGCTCCTCAGTTCGTTCAACACCGATGACGAATCGTCGACGAGTTAAAAATAACACTCTAACAAGTTTAGAATCGACTTTAGCGACGTTACGTGATGCTTGAACGAAAAGGGTACGATAATTACGACCTGTTAGTGTCCTTCGCGTCCCCCGTTCCTCGTGTTCGCGAGATAAATCAACGCAAATCGGTAACGCGCTCATCCGTTTACCGCCTACGCAACATTTCGATGCGCTTTCTATTCTGCTCAGCATAACTTTGCAATTTGCACAATTTCAACTTCCTATCATTTGAAAGATGGCAGGATATTTAATCCTCGGTCAGAGCGAATAGCGGATCATTCAAGATGTGAATTGTGAAGTTGACAATAGACGTAATAGATATAAAATATAAATACATTTGAATATATTTATAACGCGTTCATGTGCAGTGTTTGAATCAAATACTTTGTATGTATATTGAAGATTACAACAATATTGTTTGTATGTATCTTACAAATATATTTCTCTTTTAGTTTAGTTTATTCTTGAAAGAAAATAAGGGTAGAAAAATATGTGTATATAAAATAAAAGTAATACAATTATATAATTTTAATAATAATTAAATCGAGGTAAGAATGATAATTAAAGCCAAGTGCAATAATTAAAGCGTGTATATTTTAAATATAAAAAATTATTGTAAATATAAAATCATCAAAATTATTAAGGTTCCTTTTCGGGAGCCATCTTTAGTGCAATTAAACAATAAATTTATCAAAATATTTACATAAATAAATTTGCAAACAAAAAAAAATAAAAATAATTAGTTATTCATGTAAATTCAGTCTAAGGGTTCGTTACGTCATCCCAGCAGTCCACAATGTGACGATTTCAATGTACAAATTTTAATGCATTATAAGTATTTTCAAGATGTATCGCATCTTGATAGGTAGACCAAGAAACAAATAAAAAAAATTAACTGGAACTTTATTAAATTTTTATGTCAGAAATGACTAAATTTTAACGCTACAAATCGGTGCAATGAATTCTGAAAATATTGCTCAGCAAATTAAACTTGATGAATCGCTGTTTCATTATTTCGAATACATTTATTATTAATAAATAGAGCTTGCAGTGCAAACTCTTGCACTGCAAATTATTATTAATGTTATTACCTGAGTATCTTTATTATATTCATGTTCATCGAGTTTTAATGTGCAAAGTATTTATTCATTGCATTAATTTAATTCAAAGCTTCGTCATTTAATAAAACTTCAATTTATATTTTTGTATTTGTTTCCTGACCTTCCAATGAAAGTGCGAGATATTTCTCTGAGATACTTATAATAATTATATTGGAATCCGCACATTGAAATTGTTACACTATACTCAGATAACGTGAGAGACGTTAGTCTAAATTTACATTTAATAACTAATTATTATTTTAACTGCAAATTTATTTATTACTATTAATTGTTTTGTTAAATTTACTGTTTAATTGCGCTAAAGATGGCTCATAAAGGAATTTAAACATACGCTATTTATTTCGCTATGATTTCATATTTGTAGTGATTTTAAATTTAGAATAAAATATACGAGCCTTGTAACTGCTGCTCTTATTATCATTTCTTATCTTGATTAAAATAAAAGTGTACAGTAAAGGTTTTATAAAGAGTGCATAAATGCTATGTGTCAAAATTTACTCGATATACGTTTTTGATTGTCATGATGCAGTAGTTGCCATACAACTATTTGAGGCCTTCATTTTTTATGTTGTAGAATTTGTATGACATTTGGTTTTTACAAAATTGCACATTCTATCGATATATGTAAAAATGCTTGATATTTAAAAAAGAGAAACTCTAAAGTTCTTAACTTTCAAAAGTTAAATATATAGATATAAATTAACGTATAAGACAGGCAATAAGAGCCAAATCGCGGATGACAGTGCGTTATCCTAACGAAACTAAATTTTTTCGTTAGAATTAAATATCTGTGCACAAGGTACCAAATTTTACTTGGACACGGCCAAGATTTAAAATTGGAATAATCTCTACAAGAGATTTAATTCCATACATCTATTTAATTCTAACGAAAAAATTTAGTTTCGTTAGGATAACGCACTGTCATCCGCGATTTGGCTCTTATTGCCTGTCTTATACGTTAATTTATATTTATATTACAGAGCCTTGTTAAACTCTTAATTAAATATATAGTTTTATTTTTAATTGCAGGATACGTTTCCCGAATAAGACAATCAGATCATTATGGCATTACCTGTGCGGATCGACTTGAACAAATTCCAGTAGCAGCGTGTACATAGCCGCCGGTTCCAAACCACGTGCAACGACCTTCACCACGGGAAACATCCTCCTACGGACGGAAAGTGACATGTCAGGACCATTGCATGAGACACCAATCGTAAAGTCCCGAAGATCCAGAGATGGAACGCGAGAGACCGATGTCGACGACGAGATCCACGGCGCGGATCAAAAGGTAACCGCCTCGCAGACAGTGTGTCTTTGGCGCATTTACAAGCCGCGTATTAATAAAAGCGATTACGGTTTGTCGACTGCGGATGTGCAGGTAAAGTGCTCGCTCGCAGGCATCAGCACGACAAGAGAATGTTTTACAAGAGGATCGTAAGCATCGTAAAATTTTATTGCCGACGGCTGGCATCCTTCTCACAATAATTCCAAGGATTATTGTGATCCCTGTTCTTTCCACGGATCGAATCTTTATCATTTATTTCAGTATCCTAATTATGCATTATATTATTGATTTTATCTATTTCTATGCAATGAGTAACACACGAATAGATACATGGAATGTTTCTTTCGAAAATGTTTTCGCGACAAGTTCAGACAAATTGCTATTAACAGCTTAATCTCCTTCTTACTGTCATCTAAAGATTGTGGAGTGTTTTTTAGTGTCATTTAAAAAAAACAGGAGAAAGGAAAAGAAGAAACGCAAACTGCTTAAAATTCATTGCATAACATTTTTAAGCAATGATTTAATATTCTATGTTTTGTTGACAATCTGTGTATTCACATCAACTGACAAAACTTCTGTCTGATTGAAATATGAAGAATGTTATGTGTGAATGTCGTAATATTAAAATGTCTCTTTTTGGGTGTAACATTACTTTCTCGGAGTAAAAATTAAATGACAAAAGGCAGTCACCTGATAGTAAAAGATAATAATTTTTATTTCGTTCTATTTTACAACATTTTCTCGTAATATTAAAAAATAGAATGAGAAATTATCGAAATACTAAACTAAGTTAAGAAAATACTAAAGGGGAGAAATTATATCTTTTTCAATTTTAAATTATAAATTTTCAATTTTAAATTATAAATTTTCAACTTTACATTCTAGATAAATGATATTGTGGAAAGTTAAAAAAAAATATTAAAAAATAACGCTACATTTTATATTTACATGACCGCTCTTATTTGCGCGTGACTTTATACTTTTTTGTTTTGACGACCTGTCCGTTCGGAGACGGTCGATTCGGTCATTATTATGTGTGTGTGTAATTATACCTTCCGTTTTTCGTGACGATCATCTCGTTCGTGATGCACTGGAATCTGGTCCAGAGCTCCCGGTCCTCCAACGACAAGGACAGCTGCAATCCTTGATTCCCCGCGATCGCGCCAGGAGGTCCGAGATTCTGTCTCGCGATCGCATCCCTTTCTTCGCGATCATCTCGATTCTCCTCGGGGCTCGTCCGACTCTGCCTTCCGCCGCGTTCTCGCTCGCGATTTCGCTCTTGCTCGCGTTCCCTCTCACGCTCCCGATCGCGCTCGTGACACGAAGAACGCGTTGGAGAACCAGGCGTTCGTGGAGCCGGTTGCATCTTCAGCGTTCTCCGATGCGCCTCGCGTTTCTCGCTCTTCCCGCGAATTTAGAAAATTCGATATAGATTTTAACAATATATATTCGAGAGATAAAACACGATATGATGTATGTTTTCCAAATGAAAAGAATGAGGATAGAAATCGGAATTGTGTCGCGATCGATTCGCGATGTCTCGCGAGAAAAACGAACGCGATCCCACGGGTGAGCGAGAGGGAGAAAGGGGACGGAAAATCGTCGTTCGTCGCGGCACCTCAGACGTCTCCGTCAACGGCCGAGGATATAGCCATATCGCGAGAGGAACCGCGCCGCGTGACCGTAGGCTCGTAACACTTGGGCGCGATATTTCACACTAGCCGGCGAAGACTCGCCGAAGACTGACCGACAGTATATCTGCCTCTCTGTCCTCACTTTACGTCCTTTCTTTCTCCGTTCCTCAACGGCCGCTGAGAGTAGGCACCAGAGCCGCGTTCGCGTTTGCCGGATGCTAATTACTCGCTAAATTAGAAGCTTACGGGTGCAGCATGGCGGATACCATCGTCGGTGTCCATTGGTCGAAGACAGATTGACCGGTCGTCCGGTCCCCGTGAGAGAGAGTGCCGCCTTCGGCGGCTTCCTTTGACCAATGGTTGAACGAGCTGGTTCGACGAATCCACCACGGTTGGTGAGTCCGATAGTGAACGCGATGTTCGCCAGTCCGCCCACGTGCTCGTCGGCAGGTTCTTTCGATTAGTCCTCGCGGACAACGTACGCGGATCTGCACGTGATGCCGTGGTTCCCAGGATCGAGTCGCGCCGCGATTGCCACTCTGATCGACGTTTTTCATGCGCTCGATCGGATCGGATTTGTTCTTCATCGAAAATGAACGTCGTGACTGATGCTGAGGAAACGTCTGTCAAGGTCGCGAGGAAGTGCTCCACCTCGGGTGGATCCCGAAGTCGCGCGGCCGCGAGACCAGATCGAGTCGCGACGACATGTCACCTTCTCGAGTTAATATTTGCGTCTGTTGCGCTGAGAAAAGTATGCGACACGTATTTGTTCCTCGTGAGATAAGTGCTGCTCTTGTTGCCGAGGTATAACGGATCTCGGTGTAGCCGCCAAAAACTCGAGAAATCGTTTTCTCTTTGAGAGTGGTGTTAGTTTGTAAACTATCTAAATAGATTTATATTTTGATCGGAATTATTCTACAGTCAAGAGCATATCTTTTCTTTAATTTACAATGAATGACGACTGACTTGATTCTCGAACATTTGCTTAAGAAAAAAATATGTCATTGTATCTAATCACATTCAATTTTTTTTCTACTTTTTCTTGCAATTTAGATATTGCAAAATATCAGAAATTTAAAATATTTAAAGAAATCTTAATAATTTATTTGCAACCTCAGAATGTGCGTTGACTTTTTAACTCGGAAAGGAGGTCCTTCCGAGGAATCGACTTCTCGCGGTAATTTTGATATTTGTCGATTATGAAAATGGAATTCTCCTCGTCTATCACGAGAGAAACGGTCGGGAGAAGATAGAATCTTGTTGGTTGTCTGGAGTCAAATGACAAAAATCAACAGAGCGCCGTTTAACCGGCTACACGACGCACCGCGAGTAGATATTTGAGCAGGACCGTTTCTTGTTTGCCATCGTGCACACAGTTTCGGACAGCAATCGTCGAACGCGAGATGGTCATAACCCTATCGGTTATTTGTGCTAGCAATTTCGTACGGAGAGCACCAAGTCGCGATCGTCCTGATGCTGCGACATCACCGGAGGCCGAGCTGAGCCATCTTTATTGAACGAAGGCGGTCCGGGTCCGGAGTTGCCAAAGGTAATTACAATTTTCAGCGCGATTGGATCCGTCACTATTTGCAAAAAAAACGTCCTTGGGCTACAAAGCGAATGATGACATCAACTAGGCGAGATCTTCTCAAAAGTGCGCAGTCGAAAATGAGTGTCGATGAGTGCATCCTCGAGAAAAACATCTGAGCTCCGTGGTAGTTTAAAAGAAAAAATTAATTAAAGAACTAGTTTATAGAAATTTTAATTTAATAACGTCATTAAATACAAGCTTTATTATATTAGAAACAAAAATGAATGACATTTCTAGATCTGAAGCTAAAAGCTAATTGTTCGCGTGAGATATTATTATCATGATTTCTTTCATTTCCGATTTGTGTAAATATATTTATTCTACCTTTCATTTGTTTACCTTCAGTATAATATACTGCAATTGTAGAATATGCATCTTGTCTCAATTTATTTCGACTGCCACACATGACTTAAAAATTGAGATATTTTCTCAAGAGTAGATTCATATTCGTTCTGTGTCTACTGTACGGTGGCGTATCATAAAAATTTTTACCTCAAACAACTTCTTCAGCCTGCAACACTGCAGAGGCGAAGTTTACGATAGAGAGGTATCTTTGATTATTGCTACCTGCCTAGGTAGTCTCTGGACACAAGTCGGAAGGTCTCTTTCTCTCTTCGACAACTCATTTATCGCGTTTGAGAGATGCCGCCGTGGTTACGATCGCTTTGATAAACCGTGCCGGCTCTCTTCCTTTGTTATTCGTCTATTTACAGACTGTACTACTCAGCGAACATTCTAAGCGGAAGTTGTGCATCTCGAACGTCAAAAACGGTTTTATCGAGAAGAGATATCTCACAAAGATCTCAATTTATGATGTTTCCTTAAATTTTGTCAGTCAAAAAATCATAGTTAAGATACAATTTTAGAAAATTTGCTTACAGTTATTTATTATGTGTTATCGCGAATGAATTTATTTAAGAAACTGTAACTTTTTCGGAAAATAAGAGAGCAATTTAAGAACACAAAAGAATGAGAGACAATTTCTAAAAATTATATTTGCGTAAGTCAAACTGCGTCAGTTCATTAACTACTTAATACTTACTAAATAAAATTTTTAAATGTTTAAAAAAACATTGCTGCGATTAACTATATTTAGCGACAGAAATATCAACATAATAGATAGATCAATTTTTTATCCTTAGACTCATGCAAACTCCAGCCAACGAGTAATTTCTAATTCCGCTCAATTTTTAGATTGACAGCCTCGCTTCCTGGTTCATCCCTTTTGTCGCGATCCCTTGTTTCGTCTCCGCTGATAATGACATAATTTCGTCGCGCGTGATTGTTGATAACTCTTTCGCAATCCATATTTGGATTACCAAGCAAAATTGGGAATTCCATCAGATGTGCGGCTGTCGCCTTCTGTCGAATCCATTTTCTTTCATTTGAATCATTAGAATAATCCAATAAAGCTGCATAAGTCTGTATAATTTAACGTCGAATCAATTAAAATTTTCAAAATTATTACAATATTCAAATAAATACCAGAATTAGTAATTTAATTAGTTGTAATTTAATTTTTTGAGATAATATAGACATCAATCTTCTTACCACTAGATTGTCAGGTATTTTAGTTATCACATGCTCATTTTGCGCAAACCAGCAACATTCGTTGGGCAAAATGCGCGATACTAGCTGTCCATTTTCTGTGATTCCATGAAGAGCATTACTTTCTAGAATGTTATGGGATGTCGGTGGAAAAGGAAATAGCAAGGGGGTGGTCAGGTAGGCTTCTGGGATCAACTGAAAAAAAAATAAGACTTGTTTCATTTTATCTTCTTTACTGTCGCATAGACATCCGTTTATTCTTGTCATACTGCTCGCGATCGTCCCGATCGAATGAGAGTAAAGCATACATTTTGCGATGAGATGAATCTTTATGTCTATCTCGTATCACAGGACGATTATACCGCAAATGCCAATTTGTATTTTTTTTATTTTGAAAGCATGCGCGTTAAAATTCTCGTTGATATTTGCAGATAAACTTGACATTTGTGGTACCTATTTTGCATAAAACATTGTAGGTCTGTTATAGGTCGGTTTGTTTTATTTCTTTTTAGCTACCGTTGCTTATGATATTGCGCATCATACAGTACATTTACGTTCTTCTGATTAATTAAACAGTATCCCTCATTTATAAAGGTTACTTGCATCTTTCAATATGCACAGTACATCGACGCCAAAAAGACGATTTCTTTACGATGTCAAATACTATCAATATCTAGTTCAGATTACTTCAATCTCTTTGTCCTACGGATATAACGTCATTTTTTTTCGTGTTATTGATATTCATGCACGTTTTGATTCGACAATTGTCTAAATATGTTTTTTAAGGCGTGATTATGTTCATTCTCCGTTATACAAGAAGTGGAATATATTTTCAATTATATTAATATACTTTCATATGTGTCACACTTTATTCTGCAGAATATATTCCACATTTCTCGAAGCGGGAAGTTTCGCGTTTTTTTTTTTTACTTTTTATTTTTCACTCGCGAGCGATCGCGCGAACAGAATGAGGGAAATTTCTTTTACGCGACCATACATCGTAGGACGTAAGCGCGACGGTGAACGCGACATAAAAGTTTCTCGTAATTTGGTCCCATTATAGGTACAGGGTATCCGGCACGAATTTATCCCGAATTAACTGGTCGATAGACTAGACGCAAGTTACAGATATTAGCGCGTATTAAGAATCTGCCGGCAAAACGTCAATAGACTTTATTAGAATCTCAGATGAGAAATAGAGTATGCCAGATTAATTTATCGAGATAAAAATATAAAAATACTTAAATGTAATGAAGCTTAATTGCCTAAATTTTAAGCAATTCAGAAAAAAAGTTTATTAATTAATCATGATAAATGGTAATTTTTTTCGAAGCAGATATTGACCGAAAGAAAAGACATTCGGACGCAGATTCCTAACACAAACTACCGTGCATTATCCCTTCGCAATTATTTTCCAGAAGCGGAAGAACGTTTACCTGTCGACTTCCCGGCTTCCAACGCTCGCAGGCGTGTTTCACTTTTATTTGATCGTTTCTCCGTGCGGCAATACGTACTCATCTAAAGAATCTACTAAATAACTTACTCTCTTCGTCGCGCGTATTCGTTCCTTCACATATTACACACGAGTATAATATATATATATTTATATATTTATATGTATAATCGCTCTCGCCGACGTGTATAACGTCGACGGCATCTAACAACAGTGATGGAAGGTGCCGATCGAATACGTATCGTCTCGGCAATGATTACTTTTGATTATATCTTCCTTTTGGCATACGAGACGCGGTGTATCGTGCTCTGCTTTGATTCTCGATAAGGCGAGAGAACTCGACGAGAGAACTCCCCGACGCGTCCCCGATCCTCTGGAAGGCACAATCTCGACGAACGTTCGCAGTTTGTCGGGACGTTTCGTACGCCAACATCGATCCCCGACAGCTTTCGCTAATCGATGCACTTGCATTCGCTACGCATGACGCGCGTGTCCCGCTTTTCCTTTCCGAGCGGCGCTATAGGTTTCGACAAAGGTTTCGCCGTGGAGACAAATCCAGGGATTGGAACCGATACCATTGTCAGCTCAATTTCTAACCTTAGAAATATACCACAAAATTTGGTTCTTGTCTTATACATAATAATTATCGGGAATCTCATTCTCATGAATAAATTTCATAGAAATCACTTTTTCGTGCTTTTAGTGTAAAAATTCAAATATACATGCTGAAATTATAGCGGTTGCAATTTCTGGATGACTTCTTCTTTAATTGGCATATGTAACACAAAGTTTAGACATTTCTCTGTTACCAAATTCTGCTCTACACATCAAACTACTAGTGTTACACTTGTAACTTGTATCTATCGGAAATGCAATATTGCCATTCGACCTCATCGCAATCTGTCACGCGTCGGAAAGCTACGGGAACCGCTTTAGCCTAATAAAAGACAAGGACAACGTCCTACTGGAGTCGATCTGTAGCGGTATTCTATACCGTCTCAACGTACTTGTTAATACTTCAATTACGCCAATTGCAATTAACAAATTTGACACATATATATATATATAATTCTTCCAATTAGTCTAAAAAAAATTTGACACCTTGACGTCTTTTTAAAATTTTGACGAATGTCAATGAAGACGATACGCAAATACCGCGACTGAACCCGCTTAAATTTCGCTACCTATAGCACCTACGTGTGGACTGTGCCAGCGCGGCGTCGTCGGCTGTCCGCAATACGCGCCGACGGCGTACGTTGCCTGGTTATCCTCGGCATCGAAGACTTTTCCGGACGTGGTGGCGGCGACGGCCGCAGCGGCCGCCGCTGCGGCAGCCGTCGCCGTCGTAGCCGCGGTCGCGGCCGTCGCGGGAGCTGCTGCGGCGGTGCTTCCCGTCGTCTCCAGCAGCGGACGTTCCTTACTTACATCGCCGTCCTCGCCGCCGTCGTCGACCGCGTCTCCTCCGTCGCCGCCGCCGTCGCCGCCGGTTTCGCCCACCATGTTCACGAAGAACTCCGAGCGGGAGAATTTGCCAATCTCCGTGGAACCGAAGGCCTGATGAAAACCTGGAAGGGGCTGCTTCGAAACGGGTTGCTTCCTCTTCGGTTCGAATCGCTCGCTCGAGTGCCGGGACTCGCGCTGCTCCTTCTCGCGGGAAACTGTGCCTTCCTGCGGCTAAAATTGGCGTATTTTTAAAACGTTTGACGTATACGACGAGCTACAACAATATATGGGTGTGGATGGAACAGATGTTTGTGTATTATGAGATAATGCAATATTGTAGGTGTTCTACCGTAGGGGTTGGCACAAGTTCGTCGAGAGACACTCCGGCGGTGACGGCGTTTGGCTCCCATCTGGTCCCGTCGTCCTCCTCGCGACGATTCATTGTCGTCGTCGAGTCTATGACGGAATCCACCGCTGATTCCAGCATTCTTGGCATCTGTATAGATGATTCCATATTGAGATTCTCGGCAATAGGTGTCAAATCGACATAAAGTCTGATCGACTTAAAGTCATATAAATGTACTCCATTTTCGATAATTATAATTTATGATCTATTCGTCCTATAAAACTATTTTGCAGAAACGAAATATTAAGATAAGACTGTTATAGAGTTCTCGTTCATCCCTCGGCCGGTTAACATCGTCTCTTTTGTATTTTCTTCGTTAATTTAGAATTCTACAAGAACGCTAATACTAACCATATATTTGATTAATAATTTACTAAAGATGATGCAATAATCAATTTTATATTGCATACCTGATGCTCCGGTAATGGATAAGACGCGCGGATGCTATCAATATTTAATTTCCTCGGAGCGTAACCCATTTGCGATGCATCCTCCGAAAATGCGCAGTGCCTAGTTGGCGTACGATCCCGTAAGAAAATTGCATGCCGCGGACCACGAATCGCCGTATTGTGAGTCATGATCGGGACATCTAAAATATTTCGTATAACAAAAATATATCATATATTAAATATTCTATAAAATTGTATGTAAACATATTCTTCTTGATTTAATATAATTATCTCGTATACAGAGTGCATCTAAATAAGTGCGAAAAATTTTAGGATGATTCTTTGTCGAAAAAATTAAGTGGAGTTTCTTCAAGTTTCATTTTCTTAATTTATGTAGGAGGTTCGAAAAAAAATAAAAACTTAATTTTTATCTCCCTTTTTAGAAAAGTGTAACTTTTCAGGTGGAATATAAGAGTTTATATAAGAAATTAATTTCCCCCGTTAATTTTCGACAAAGAATCATCTCCTCAAATTTTTCGCACTTATTTAGATTACTTATACACCCTGTATATAACATATGTGTTGAAGTTATAAAAAAAATGATAAAATTCACGCTGCATTTTAAAATGCAACGTGAAGGATTAAATTACTGTACGTATAAGACTTACGTGGTAGTACGCCGTGACAAAATTGGCCCCATGGACCGTGTGTATGTCTATGCGTGTTTGTATTCTGGACATTCGGGTGAAGAATGCCGCCCATTTGCGGTGACGGATGAGGCGTCCTCGGATGTGAATGAGGGCTTACGCTACTCTGCAACCAGACATGTCAGACGATTTTCGTAAACATGACAATCTAGCGCGAGGAAACTGCCTATTCATATTTTTCTATTATACATAAACTACACAGAGGCCATTTTTAACTTCTTTCAACGTTTTTCCGCAGAATAAAAAAAAAAACACATTGACTCTTTTTATGGAGAGCTAAATTGCATTGAAAGTTCGCAAAAATTGAAAAAAAGATTTGCCGATTATTAGAATTGTTATCTGTGAAATGAACGAACGAAATATTTCCGAATCGAAATCAAGCGTCATCAAAAAAGCGCTTTGCGATATTACTTGATAAGGATGCCACTTCTGGCCGTCAACAAAGTCGGCGTAATCCGCAGCGGATTCTTGTCGGCGAATCTCCCTCTCCGCAGCCGCGATATCCGGCGAATAGCCGTTGGAAGCAAACGCCTGGCTCCTTTGGTCCTTGATGGGCTTGTCGAGATCGCGTTGCTGCTGATGCATCGCGTCCATCGCCTGCAGCCTCTCGATCGGATCGCCGCACACGTTTCCGTACCAGTCGCCGATTCGCGGCGAGTGCGCCGGCTTCAGGCCGCGATGCGCGGCCTGGTACCAGGGCTCCTGATGGGGACTCACGTTCGGGCCCATGGGCACGGACGAGCAATCGAAACGGTGATGTTGATTCAGGAAGTCGCCGGCCACCGACGCGGAAATTGCCGCGGACGCTCCGCCGCCGATCGTGCGCGCATTTGCATTCGCGATCGCGTTTTGTAGGATTGATCGTCGCGACAGTTCGCGAGTCTGCTCGCGCATCGCCTTTCGCAACCTCGCTTCCTTTGGATTGTACACGTAATCTGTAAAATCATTTAGAAAATTCCACTATTAACATCAAAATATTTTACAATAAAAGTCAGAAAATATAGAAAAATCTTGACAACTTTTAGAAGATATCGAGAGAAATCACGATTAAAATTTGTAAGAAAAGCTATTTATTTATTTCTTAATTCTTCTAATTAATTTTAATTTCTTTTATAATATTATATATATTTTTTAGCATACATGGATACACAATTATGTAATATGGAACCAACCACTAATTTTTTTATTTCAAGATTTTTATTGCAAATTGTGCCTATATGTATGTATCTGGCACAATTCACTATAAAAATCCAGATACATACATATAGGCAATTACAATTTGCAATAAAAATCTCGAAATAAAAAAATTAGTGATTGATTCTATATTGCATAACTGCGTCCACATAGATTTCTTCTTCCTATACATTTAAAAATACCAAATTTTCTTATTAAACTATTAAGAAAGAAAAACTGATTAGAAATAACACAACTATCTATTTTTTTACACAACACATGCATATATGTAACATTTTGCATTTTGTTTGCGATAATCTACCTGTCGGATACGTGGAGGGTATTGTCCCGTTGTATCGAGCGTTAATGTCGATCGCATTAGAGATCGGCGCGGCTTCGTAGCCAGTGTAAACTGCGCTACCATTGTCGTAACAAAAGTACTGTTGCTGCTGCTGTTGTTGCTGGTAAAAGTGACCACCTGCTGCGTAAGCCTCGATGTAATTGCAGCAGTCCATCTCTGCGCGTACCTTTTATTTCTCACGTATCGATCTCGATTTCGTCTGTTAGCGACACGCGCTTAGGCTACGTTTCTCTCATTACGCTTACACATCGTGTGAGCTCTCAATCTAAATCCATCTCGGCTACGATACATCATAACATAAACACAGACCTAACTTTGATCGATGAACGCGTCGCCGATATATATTTTCCCTCGATGTTCCCGAAAAATTGTGTTATTATTTCTCATGACAACACGCGAATCATCAAAGTCAGTCGACAGCTTAACATTTCGATCAATCTCGATATTATGTTTCTTTTTTTATTTAATTTGCACATATACATATATTTTTTCCCTTTCTATATTTCAATATCTAAAGTCTGGCTAAAATGCACGAGCGTCGCGCGAATCCTCGTCGAATGAATCTTGGCGATTTCACGAATGCGCATCTTACAGATGTAAACACAGACGTAAACACTCGACATAAGAAGAGAACAATGCTGGGAATTCTTCGTCGCGCACTCTTCACTAAATCGAACGCGATCGACGAAGCTTCTCAGGCTTCGGCTCATTCGCGCGTCCCTCTCCCTCGAGAGTCCAAACAGCACCGAACGCGCGGGAAAGAAACGCTCTCGCGGAGCTCCCGATCGATATCTCGATTTCGCGGGTCCACGTCTCGCGCCTCTCGCGAATGTAAACACCGCCCGCGCGCGGGCGGACGACGCACCGGCGTTCCTCTCGCCTCTGCGTTCCGGAGTGTCGAACGCAGTTAGCGCGTACCAAGGACCCCTCTTCTTCGCCCTCACTGCGAGGTCGCCGGACGCTTACGTGGGAGGGCCGTGCAACTGTCGGAGGATGCGTCGGGCGGCATCGTTCGATCGACCTTCCGCATTCCGTCGAGAAGATTCAGCCGGCGACGCCGACCTCCTCCTCGTCGTCGTTCTCGTCATCTTTATTGTTATCATCGTCGTTGTCATAACGCGGGGGATGCTGATGATGATGATGATGATGATGATGATGATTCGTCGGCGAGATCAATGATGCGCGTCGCGATCGGGGGTTGCGCGAACTACTGTCATCCGGTCGCCGTCGATCGCCGCGCGCGCAACCGCAACGTCAAATCGCTGCGCGTTCGCACGCGGACGCGATCCGGCGTGTGCGGTGGGCCGCGCCATGCTCGCTGCAGCCGCGGCGAGATCGATGACAGAAGCTGCGCTCCCGTTGCACCTGCTGCACGTCTTGCGCACTTTTACTCCGACAAACGAGCCTCTTTTTTTTTCAACTCCGACACGGTTCTCTCGCTTCGACGTTTCGCTCGAATTGTATTTTAATTTTTTCTTTTTGCAACAAATTTTTAATTTAATTTTCTTCTTTTTTTATGCGAAAAATTGATGATTTGTTGGACGATTCGACGACGCGAACTGGACGTAAAACTGTGAGGTGCGAAAGCTTTTTTTTTCCTTTGTCTTTCCGTTTACGCCCGTTCTAATTTACTCTCGCTGTTAATTAGTCACTTGACCTAGTCCACGCGACACACATCGATCAGTCGGTTTTTCCGTTTAATTTCTGCGCGATGTATATATATATATATATATATATATATATATTCGCTATACGATATATCTTTCTCTTTAAATCCCTCTTTTATAAACAATCCTAATGAATTTTCCAAAAGTTAACCAAGAGTGCTACCCTTCTTTAATTACTAATTATATATAGTTTCTTTTTCTTTGATCTCCGGATAAATATCTATCTACGCTATTATCACAACGATTTTCGCACGATTTTGCGTCTATTTACGATAAACGAAGAATTTTTTTCGATGCGTTTCGCACGATCATTTGCATAAATTGTGCAACGCTCTCGATTTTGGGCGCGCACGACGACCCATTTACTCGTCTGTTTTCCCACCGTCTGTCACTCGCGCGGAGAGGATGAAAGAGGACGATAAAGGCGGGCGGACGCGCGCGCGCGCGTGCCGCAAGCGGGAACGGCGGGCCGCACACGGGAGACCCGCGTTCTTCCCTCGCGGTGCACTTCGGTCGCACTGATTTCAGCCGGCGGCGGCGGCCGTGGTGCGGCGGTGACGGTGGTGGCGGCGGCGGCGGCGCCGCGACGAATTTACGTGCGTTTCGTCATCGACGAGCCGGAGTGGTGCGAAAAGGGGATGCACGAGGGCGCCTATCCCACCCTCTCGGGCCGGCGTCGCGAGGTGTGTGTCGCGAGACGAGGGTGCCGCGAGTGGAGGAAGCAGTGGCGGATTTATCGATAAACGACCGCCGGAGGATCTCTATTTCATCAGTTATTTGCGTCTTAATGTATAATCATTAATATAATATCATTGTATATTACGTGTGCATCTCTTATGTAAATATGATAGTCTCTGTAAATGTCATATGACATTTGGATCTTTCGGCGGGATTAATTGCGCGCCGGGAAGAAAATTGTTTGAATTATGCGTATATATATATATATATATCCAGAAAGGGTATAATATTGTCTTGCTCGGGGCTTTTCAAACCCTAAATCCGCCACTGATACGAGAAGGTGGTGGAGGAAAAGTGACGAGGGGTGCCGGCAGAATTCTCCTCTTCTCTTCCACCGTCGTTGCCTTCTTCAACGGCTTCAAGCCGGAGCCCTCGACGCAGTTCCGCACAAGCGGCGTTCGCCTCGCGCGAGTCGATAATTCGTCTCTCACTCTCTCCCGCATTTCGCTCGCCGGTTTGTCGGATTTGAGGGAGCGTCGCGACGGATGCGTCGCTCCGATCGGAGGATCATTCCGGAGAGCGGTCGAGCGATCGAAGAGGATTAACTTGGCCGCCTCGACTGAACCAGCTATATCGCATTAGACGAGCAAGCTGCTTCGACTTGGAATATCGCGTTTCAAACGTTCGATATAGAGGATCTCGTCGTTATATTGGAGAACTGCACACGACCCATATATTCCGCACAATTTCCCTAATTATCTCGCCCTTAATTTACGCGCGACATTCTATTACGAAATATCTACACGAGGATGAGCAACATCCTCATGAGCATTTTCCCTCTCTTTCTTCCTGTCTCTACACTGAAAAAAATCCATGTACTTTTACATGGAAATTACTAGCTCGGAACTGGAAAAGTTACTTGCTTATCACTGTCATTTTTTTTTTTCCATTTGTTTTAAAGTGAAAATACATGTAAAATATAGGTAAAATTACTATTTTTATGGAAAAATCATATGTAATTTAAATTTACCATTTTTACTTTATTAGAATTTCATTTTACAAGTATTTATCTATTTTCTTTACAACATTATTTTATAGCATTTATTACACGTTCGGTGAAATATTTTAAATCTTGAAAATATCGAAGAATCTATTTCATACAATCCGTAATCTTCCATGTAAGTATCAATATTGCACGATTATCCTGGGTCGGAAAAAAAAAACCTAGCTTAATCATGTAAAATTTTACATAAATATTTTTTTCAGCGTATATACCTACCCCTGCTATATACCTCGTCCGCGTAAGCAATTACGCACGTCGGCAGGCGCGACGGAGCGTTTCGTCGGCGGGACCAAGATTAATCGCGTCGCCGCGCGCGCCGCCGATTAAATATTCTCCCATTATCATCGTTCCGCTGATCCACGCGCATCGAGAACGCGAGCCTCCCTCTTTGCGCCGACGTCCTCGGTGGATCGATGACCGGCGATCAGCCCGGTGCGGTGCACGCCGCGACACTCCACCGTCGGCTCGTTCGTGCCGCCTGGATGCAGGGGCCTCGACATTTTGACGGCTTCTCTCGGCGCGACCTACTGCCACCCACCCTTTCGGCCGATCACCCTCCGACCACCCCCGCCGGTTTTGCACGCGCGCAGATGCACGTGAATTCGGTCGACGCGCCATCGATGTTCGATGGCGCAGGGCGCATCGATGCGGTCTCGCCGTTTCCCGGTGATCTTAATTGACCACTCGGGACGCCCGTCCTCCTCTCTCGACTGAAATTGGCATATCGATTACATTATCGGCGGACAGTTGAAAACGAGGACGAGAAAATTGCGCCGACGCCTGTTGCGAGTGAGCGTTTCGAAAAGCCGGGACACGAGATGAAACTTTCGAATGGGACGTGAGATGAGAGGAGAGTATATTTGTTTTATTGCGACATGTTGGGAATATTAAAAGTTAAAGAGCAGTCGAAGAAGGGACAATTACGCACATTTGTTTTTTTTTTATTGCATTTTTAATTTATATTAAAGTATTAATGTTTGACAAATATATGTATATATATCGGTTATTATTTATACCGATAACTTGTCAAAATAGGATGTGGTTTGTGAATAATATTCAAACCTTCAAATTAAAATTTATCCGATTGTATGCTTGCTTCTTTATATTTATTCTCCGGAATAAATTCAAAGTTATGTAAAGAAAGACAAATATTAATTGTATGATTAATGAAATATTACGGATAATATATGAAATAGTGGTGATGAAATATGTTGGGTAAAAATTGTAAGAATACCAATGATATGTCAACTGTCGACCAGTGGAATAACAATTTGCGGTTCTCGAAGAAATGAAGGATCCGTGTCTGAACAGTACCGGCTGCACGAGAGGCACGAACAAAAATAATACGTATCGATCTAACGGGTTAACTATCTTTACTATCCCTCCAGCGACGCAGCTGTATAATCGGTTTAAAAAATTGGCCATACTCGAACTACTTTCTCGACAACCTTCCATTCTATTTTTTTTACCGAGATACTATTAAAAGAAAGGATTAAAAAAAAGTAATTAAAAAATATACTAATATCAAGAAATACAATTTGTAATCTTCTAATTTTCTCTCGTACGAAATTAAGAAGAAAAACCCGGAGGGTAGAATTTTAATTTAGAAAACGGCCTAAAAAAACAAAATCAATTATTTTTGCAAATATGGACGAAGAAAACGAATACCGTCGAATGTAGAGGAATCGACCGAAAGTCAAAGGTCAGACGGCATCGCTCGACGACGAGCATGTCGAAGTACTCGCGTTTCTCTCGCGCACGAACGCTCAACAACAATGTCGGATACGTAGGAAGCATAATCGCGCGCTCGCTCGCACGTTTACTCGTTCGTCCTCAATGGGTGTAGATAGATAGACGGGTTGGTGGAAGTATATATATATATATAGAGGGAGAGAGCCGGTGGTCGTGTATCGGGCAGGTTCCTAGAGCCGTGTCGCAATCAATACCTCCGGTACTCTCTCTCCGCCGTTTCCCACCCGCGCGTTTCTCCCCGCGTCACTCACCCGAGAATATTTCTCTCCGCTCGCCACCCTGTACCTCGACCTCGCAAAACTCGCATCCACCCCACGCGTCCTCCCTTTTTGCCGCTCCGCGAGAATCGTCGAACGCTCGTCGTCGCCGACCACGGCGACCTACAATCGCGTCCGCGGGACCCCTTCCACGATTTTTTCTTTTTTTTTCCTACCCCCTTTGGGGGTGATTAATAACCGCGATAAACCGTAATAAAAGTCTGACATTTTAGTCGCGATGTCATATATAAAGTCGGAAGATTTCTTTGCGCTGATCGATTCGTATTAGTATGATGGAAATATATATATATATTTTTTATATAATCGTGTAATATTTTTTTCTTTCACTAGAGTCTATGAACGTTATTAGGGAATGTTGACGGGACCAAGTTTGTGCATCTGAATGAAGGACAATCGCACCGGGGGTGAATTGTCAGCCCCGACTGCGAGCTTTTCGTCGGCTGATAACGCGAACCGACTTATCGCCGGCAATCGATATTATCTAATCCAGTTCGACTATTTTTAGAATGTAGCCCGACATTATTCGTGCAGGTGACGCAAAAATAACGGGATTTTCTAATTTGAACGGTCTGTCGACTTACGAAAGTCTGCAGAATGTCCCGGTTGTTTTTACGATATATTTTTTCCGCGGATTATCCGCGTTATCCTACGCATTCGTCTTCATTTTCACACGAGGATATGAGAATCTGTATACATACCTGTAGAAAATGCGTTTGGCGCAATTTCAGATAAATCAGGAAATTTTGACGCGATCCGCCAGACGCGTGTTTAAATGAGAGATCGGATTAAGAAAATAAATGCAGGACGCAGGACGTACCAGGATATTTCCTCTTATGTTCCCTGTCCACCTCACGCGCCAATGCGAAATATTTCTCCTTTACTTCCTTCGACATATTTTTCCAAAAGATGCCTAATCTAAAGGAATAGAAAGAACACAATACTTTATAAACTCAACATCTTTAGACAATCTCACAAATTTCATCCCCCAAAAATATATGTATTGCAAAAATTGGTGTAATGAATTATTATGATTCACGGAAGAGCGTTTCAAGATTTAAAATTGCTTAAACATTTTTCTGGATAGGAACAAATATTTCTTTAAAAAAAAAAAAAAATAGAACTAGCCTGACGCTGATATCTTTGTTGATATGTATTGCAAAAATTGGTGTAATGAATTATTATGATTCACGGAAGAGCGTTTCAAGATTTAAAATTGCTTAAACATTTTTCTGGATAGGAACAAATATTTCTTTAAAAAAAAAAAAATAGAACTAGCCTGACGCTGATATCTTTGTTGGACTCCCGAGGATTCTCGGCGGCGAGTTTTCGTCGCCATTCATTAGCGAAGAGCATAAAGGCGTTCGCCGGCCTCGGAATCTTGCGTTTAACTCCAACCGCCATTGCATCCGCAAGTCCGCCACCATCGATGCATAACAACGTCGGGATGCCGGCGCTTTTGCGTCTGGGCGATCGATTCACCTGCTGCTGTTGCTGCGGAAAAATCTTGTCCGCCTCGCGGTTGCCACGCGATATCTTCGACTCGTCGGGAATGCGCTTTTCTTCCACGTTCTCCTTGTCCTCGTCGTCGTTCTCATCTTTGAAAGAATGCATCGAGGAGGTAACGTCGAGGAGGCTAATCTTATCATTAACCTTCTTTCTTTCCAAATACTCGCCGGAAACGGATGGTCTTGTTTCCGTCGCTGACACCACAACGATGATCTTTCCGCGATCGCGGATGCATCGCTTTTCTTCGAAGGTTTCATGAATTTCATCTGTGCGTATATAAAAGAATATATTATTTAAAATTATTTTGAAGAATCTACTCTCTTCAAGAAACATTTTATTTCAATCATTTCTCTTTAATATTATTATTATTAAATCATATTATTTAAACTATTGTTAAAATAATTGGTCTCTCGATAAATTATTTATATACATTTTTATATACACATATTTAAATATTCTTTAAACTTCTTACTCTTTAATTAGATTTCTGATATTAAATCTTGAAATTTTTTTACTAAACTTTTTTACAATTCTTTCACGCTTGCATTATTCAATGTGCATTCAGTCGATATGCACGTTTTGAGCGATTGTCGCATCATGAAATGTTTAGGAATCTAACTCGATTTTATACGCTTACCTTTTTCGACAAAATTCCAGACACGTTCGCGACTCTTCATAGTGATAAAAATTTGTCGCTTAGACTTGTCACTGAGAACCAACCGTTCTCCGATTTGCGATATTGTTATGCGTGTTTAATAATGCACTCGTGAATTCTTCTGATAATGGCGAAACATGACACACGAATGTAGGCACTCTTTCGTTGTCGGCACCACGTCGCTTGTTGAAAAAAACATAACGATGCATCGATCGTCTTATTTTTTATCTTTCTGTCATTGTGTCATCCAATGATTGCCGAAGCCGAAGAGAATAAAAGACATTCGCTGCAGAAGATTCAATTAAATATAAACGTCATTTTTCGATTATTTTATATTATTCTTTGGCACTTTTGCTTCTCGACATGGTTTCTCAAGTTTTCAATACAGATCTTAATATAAATGCATTACCTGATAGATGCGCGTGTAAATCGAACGGCATAGACTATTATAAAATATTATCGTTGAAAAGAAACTGCAACGATACGGAAATCAAAGAGGCGTAAGCGTGACCTTTTAATAAGAATGAAATAATTAACAAATAATTAATCTTGTATATTATAGTATTTTATTTACTTATAATATTAATGATTTTTATGTAGTGTAATTTCTTTACAATATAGATTAAATAATATTTATTTCTCTCTCTTTTTCTGATAAAATTATAATTAATAATTTGCATACATGATTATAATAATTATATATTTTACGAAAAAATATTATAATAGTAAAAAATATATCATTGACAAAATAGTGCGATTTTTTAAAGGTATGGACGATGCGCTGTACGGTACAATCCCACACAGCAAAAGAACGGAGGTGCCGAGGCGATTTTCGCCTTAGCAGCTGAGGCGTACGACGTGCTTTCAGATCCTCTTAGAAGAACCGTGTATGATCAATACGGTGAAGAGGGTCTTAAAAATGGTGTGCTGCGACCAGAAGGGTTTGAGAAACCTTACGTTTATCACGGGGAACCGATGCGAACTTTTAGGTGAAATCGAAAGCCATGATTAATTTTCTGCAATTTTACGAATTGAACTTATATGTTTAGTTTTGATATTAACTTTGCAAGACCAATATGATGTTTTAAAGTACTATTTTTTCGGAACTAATATTTTCTGAAATATATGTTTATTATATGCTCAGAAAGAGTAGATTAAATATCCAAAGTTAAGCTACTATTGTTGTTTTTACAACAAGAAATTTCTAATCTTTAAAAAATTAAATGTTATATACTTTTAGGGAATTTTTTGCGGTTCAAAATCCGTACAATGATCTCTTGAATATTCTAACGGAGTCCCAACCTCTATTAGACTTTCCCGAAGGTCGAGGTATTAAACGAAAAGAAGAACCCTTGATCAAAACTTTGTTTCTAACTCTATCAGAGGTAGAACTCTTTACTTAATTCTTTATTACCTTTGATCATTTTTTCCTCATATTTTGAGAAAGGAAGAAAAGTTGCAAATTACTTACGAGTTGTCTTTTCTTTCCAAATTATTTTATTATTATTTGATCTTAATTATTTGATCTAAATTTCAAAACTTTATAAATAATAACAAGTTAAATGTAAACTTAAACTTTATATAAATATATAAATGTACAAAAGCATTGTAAAAAGCAAAGATAAGTATCATTGCATCTAGATCAACAAAACATGTTTCGTCGTAGATATTTTTTGGTGGAATAAAAAAAATGAAAATTCAAAAACTAGTCTTAGACGGTCATGATAAGTCGACAACGGTACCGATGGAAAAAATCTTGACGATACCTATTAAACCAGGGATCCCGTCGGGTACTAGAATAGTATTTCCAGAAGAAGGTGATCAGGGACCCACAAAGATACCCGGTAAGTCCTTCCATTGTGATCTTGAGTTTAAGCTTACGATTATAGTCGCTTGAGCTTTGCAACAATAAAACAGATGGATTCTTTCCTTATTCATTCCCTACTAATTACAAGAACAAATAATTCTTTATACATAAAAGAAGAAATCAATTAATATAAGTGTTTTAAAGATAAAATAAAATTTAATTACTTTCTTCTTTCTTTAAACTAATTTTCTAACTAGTGATATCATGTACAATCATTTTTCCTACTTGCGACTTATGACTTGTAGTTTATTCGAGCGAATTTTTTTATTTCACGAATACTATAGAGAATGTATTTCAAAATGTAAGTTAACTCTTGTACCGCCGAATACTACACGTATTTCTTATTAATTCTATATTGTCAATCTGGCATTATTTATCACCATTATTATAAGTTAACGAAAAAACTTGCAATGCATAACTGTTACGTCAATTCGTGGTCAAATATAAGATGATTAAATCACACATCGTGTCAAATGATAATATGAGTTCCGTGGAATAAGGGTTAAAGATTAATCGTAACGAGGGATGATATCTTCACTAAGTCTAAGACACGTCAGCGTAGCGGATGTTATCTTCGTCACGGAGGATCGGCCTCACGAAACGTTCCGGCGAGAGGGCTCGGACTTGCACACGACGGTCGATATCTTTCTAAGGGAAGCGCTGACCGGAACGGTGATCACGCTTAACACCGTCGACGACAGAACTCTTCGGATTCCGATAACATCGATCGTTGCGTACGAAAACTCCCGTTATAAGACCGCATCATGTTTGTCGTTCCACAATTTTTGTCAATTTTCTTTGGCTTAGTTTGTCCTGAAAAAATATAAATTTTTATATAAAAATAGAGAGAACATGCAATTATAATCCGTTAAAAGCGATTTTAATTGTTTGTAATACACTATTCGATTTTAAACGGATTTTCTTCCTTTATTTACTTATTAAAAATTATGACTGATTGTAAGAGAATTAAACAGGTTTTGTATTTAAATTTTACATGATCTTTTCCATCTCACAGACAGGATTACATCAAACGTGTATCAGGCGAAGGTATGCCCTTCCCAGCAAATCCGAAGCAAAGGGGCGATCTGATACTGAAATTTAATATCGAGTTTCCGATTTATTTACCGTTATTCAGCAAGAACCACATCAACAAAGCCTTTGAAATGTCTCGTACGATCGAGAATGCCGAGTATATTCATCATCTTATATTGGCCAACAAGATGCGTAGAAATGTCGACGATAACATTCCATTACGACGAGATCCGAAAGATGAAGCGGATCAATTAAAATTCATATGTGAAACGTGAATTTGAACATGTCTTTTGTAAATATATTTCGCTTTATATGATTCACATATTGATTCAACATTACTTTGTATATTTCTCAACGTAAATAATTTCGAGAGAAATTATTTAAAAATAAAAATTACTTGAAATTATCATAATTATCTCTCTCTCTCTCTTTGCACAATTGATTATTTTATCATAATGCATAATTAATTTACAAGCTATTAATAAAATGTAAATAATTATAATAACATTCGACAGAGAGATAGGAAAAAGATGTAATCATGCAATTTTTGAAACATGTTTAATTATTCTTTACATACATGTATATTTAATTTTATGTTTTATTATACATATATTTTCCAAATATATATTTTCTTATAAGCGTGTCTGTATTTTCATAAAAACTGAAGCAATTGACGAGGAATCATTTATATAGACGTAAGGATTCACCCTTCTGACGTCATACACCAAAATAGCTGACATCTAGTATCATTGACCCTTAAATGCGCGATACAAGCATACCAATATCAGCAACCCAAACACATCTTTGAAGTGACCGCTCATTGTTACATGATATAACGGATGTCTCCATCTTGCGGGATCTACCAATGATCAAATAAAAACTTATCCATCGGTAAGCTACTCCGGTACTACTTCGTGAGTTCTTACCAAATTTAATTCATAATAAAGAGCATGGGAATGCTTCATTCATATATAACAGACGTGAGAAAATTCATGTGACATATGAAAAAAAATGGCACAAACGAGTCTAATGAAATTAAAGAGCTCTTGGCTTCCGACAAGCTGCGGCCTCGACCGTGTCATTTCAGCCAGCGACAGCGATTTCAGCTGTGCTATTATCTCCGGCAATCATATGACTCCTCCGCACGTGACTTTATTTACAGTAGACGTACACTCCCGCAAGCATGTATGGTACAGTTCCGCGTGACATGATAGTTCCGCGGAGACACGAGTCTGACGAGCGATGCGGGCTAACTATAGACGACGGGCTGTGGCTTTATGATGCCGTTGCTCGATAAGTTGCTGCCTTCGAGGAAGAGCAGTCTACGCGAAAGTGTCGAAAGTTTAGTGGCCAGTGCGCGAACAGCTGAGAATGATAGGTGAGCAAGAGATCGCGCGCGCTCGGCTCCATTTCGGAGCACGGTTCTTTATCGTTGACGTTCGCAAACTCTCCGAACTCTCGCGCAGCATCCGTTATCATTGATATTATTTTACGCCTTATCACATCGATCATTGGCATATCGTTATTTTGCATTAGTGATAGAAAAGAAAGAAGGTTTGAATTTTTGAAGACAGCGCGTACATATCGCCCGGGCAAGAATAAAAGTGAAAATTATGTTGAGTGAAAAATTAATAATAAACGCATGATTAAAAACATGGAATTATCTCAGAGAAATTAATAATTCCCTAACCTACTTCACACTATAATTATTTTGCTCCATTCATTTGCTCGCTACAGCTGTTTTACCAACGCGACATCAAAGCGACCGCACGTCGTGTCGAGGTCGAGTTTCATTCGAGAAAGATATCATGAGAGTTTTATCACAGCTCTCTCTTATATATGCAAATTTTTACGCTGCAATAATTATTGGCTTTTAGTATCAAATTTCTTGATTTTTTTATATTTTCTTTGTTACAGTAGTGTAATGTAAACCAAGGCTATTAATTACTATATAAATTAATAATATGTAGAATTATACAGAATACTTAATAAATTAATAATATAATAAGAAAATATATTATAATATAAATTAATATAAAAAGGTATATTTACATATAATAGAATTGAAATATTTGTTATAAATTGATATATATGAACATATCTTAAGATTAAGATTTTTTTTCCAAAATGATGCTTTTCTTTCTATTACAAAAATAACAGTATATGTCTTTAAAAAAATGTATAGTGATTACAATAATATATTAAATTTATACACTTATTAAATATAATGCTTTTGCTCTATCTGATATGCGAATAAAAAAATCTTCTAAATATGATGCATTTATTCGTAGGAATTCTGTGTTACTTCTTGGAGCAGATCAAGTGCGGATTTTGTTATTTAGAGAGTGCGAATGGCGTGGTAGAAAACTTCTCTTCGATTCAATGACAGTGCAGAAGCATCGAAGTAAAAGCGAAACCGTGTGCACAGCGGTAAACAACAATGTGGAGGGAAAGTGCGAGATGCCTTTTAATATAGGAACCGCTCACAATTTCGAGGTAATTATAAATTTTATACATCAGTCATTAAAGTCAATAAATAAATTATAAACATCAACTTAATTAAATAACATTTAATGCTCTAATAATAAGTAATATAGTTACTATAATAGTATTAAATAAAAACTTATTTTGTTGTAATTTATATAATACACGTACATAATATTATTTTTTATTTTTATATTAGTGTTTTAAATTATACAAGATAAGATAAATTCTATTTTTTACATCTATAAATAATTATTTATTTTGTTTCTATATTATAACATATATTGAATTAAACAAGAAGATTTCATCGAAATTATATCTTTTTGACACTTACATTTCTAATCAACAACAATTAAATATCGCTAATGAAATATAATGTCTAAAATTTTTAGCGAGATAAGATGATCGAAGATGATGTGAATTTACTAAGCGAAATGGTATTTGGTACTGTGGCGATGACGTACAGAGGAAAATCATTTAAGGTAAATAAAAAATTTATTTTTTAATTTATCTGTTCACAATAATTATGTATTTTTATTTTAATTATTTATCTCAATTATTAATTTGTTTTTTCACATTTTAAAGGTTCATTCAATGAATTCTCCGCCATGTATCATGTGTACAAAAATTTTTCCGGCGACAGAACATAGCACGTGCAAAACAAGGTAAATTATTTTCCACTATTTCTTTCAAAGGATATTTTTATTGATTTTGCTAATTCTTTTATTGTATTTTAGTGAAAGAATTTCGGACGAAGGATTAGGACGATCTATGCATGTAGATTCTGCTTCCAGCAATAGTAGTATGCGATCTTTTTGTAAGTATTTCGATATTACATATTATTATTATATTATTATGCTTCAATCTAATTTGAGAAATAAAATACAATAAAGATTAATCCTTTCAGCTCCTCGATTAGATATATTTTATGTGAAGGACGGAGTTTAACAAAAAGACTTATATCATTTACTTTATTATGGCCGTACTTGTTCCTTTCAACTCCTTGATTATTAAATACATTTTGTATGAAAAACAGATTTTTAAAAAGAGATTTATAAAATTGATTTTTAAATAACTTATCTTTATGCTATCATGATTATATGCTATCATGTACTTACACATAAAATGTATTATTTTTTTTACAACTTTGTGAGAAATCTGTTCAATTTTGAATGACAAAAATTGGATAAATAAAAATGTCAAATAGTTGGAAGGATTATTAAAAATAGCGCCAGAATAAACCCTGATTAGGTTTCCATCGCAGACTCTCGACCGAGTTCCGGCAACTCTTCGGGTAATGAATTGCACGCGGGTCCGAGGAAGAATTCGACCTGCTCGAGTATCGGTAGCGGTTGGGATTTAGATGTAACACCGCGGACAAATAGTAAGATTATGTCAAACAATTAGATCGATTCATTGCCGAGGATGGTGTGCTCATGTACCGTAACGCGATGTTGATCCAGGTTCGCAATCGTTGGAGAGCAACAGCTCGTCCGGCATCGGCAGTTTAACTAGCTTGCGCAGAAGATGGTTGAGAGCGGTCTCGACTTCCCTCGGACGATCTGATTCCGACGATGCTTTTGGGATGCAGCACTGGAACGAAAATGGAAATGACGGGCGTGACGGACACGCGAAACGTCACAAGACCAGGCTAGGTTTAACGATGTTGGTGCGATTGGCTCAGGGCCACGAAAGGTATAGAATTACTTGCATATAATTCATATTCATATAATTCATATTTATATAATTCATATGAAAAATATATTTATGGAAAATATTTCTCTCTAAAATATAAACATAATGCTTTTAAATATAGATTCTTTAAAATCGTAGAAAGAAATAAAAAATAAAAATAATTGTATATTGCTGAAAAAATTGAAAGATCTAGAGATTATTAATTTGATAAGATTAATAATTTGATTAAGAAGTATATTCAAAAAATAGAAATATATTAAAGTAGATAAAAAATATTTGTAGCCAAATAAAGGTACGCCTTTTGGAACACATGGCTCTCTTAGAAGGAATGCTGGATCGTTTAAGATACTTTTGCATTGAGACCAACAAAATCAACGGATCGATACAGCTGGCTGACAGAATTTACAGAGCAACGTCTCGATTTGTCATTTCACTGCTGCACATACTTCTCAACGTCAGTGTTGACACTAGTATCCGTACACCTCTGTTGTGGCATGACGTTTTACTTAACTCTGTGACAGTATATGATAATCCGAATACTTTACATCGCAATTTGCAGCAGATGTGTCAGTTATTTGATGAACTCGATACAAAGTCGACAAATTTGTGAGTATAGTATAGTATAAATCTCTCGGATTTAATAAACGTGTATATTTATCCCAACATCTTTCAGCTTCCTGAGCACCGTAGTAACTGCTGTATTAACATATCATCTCGGTTGGATATATACCGTACTATCTCCGCGTGATAGGCAAATGGTAAATAAAAAAATCATAGGGAAATTTTAAGAACCATTTAAATATAAAAGTTATATAGTTGAAGAATCTAAAATTTCTAAAAAGAAATTTTAAAAATAAGTAGACATTTTTTAATGATCTCAATATCGATATTATTATTATTATTATTATTATTAGAATAACGTTAAAATGTAATTAAAACTTTTCTGAGAGATGACACGTATCTTTATTTTTAGATCGAGAAACTGGGCAGCTGGTATTCTTGCAATCCGCTTTGGGCACAACTTGGCGATCTGTATGGCGCGTTAGGCAACCCCGTGAAAGTGGCACATACCGTCGTTGCGGGCGATCCTCGGAAGAGCGACCTGATTAATTCAGTCTTGTCGTTTCTGTCTTACTTCATCCGCAGCGGGATGATACAAAAATGCCAAGAATACCGCTGTTCGTCGCAGGAAGACGTGCAAACGGCGACGAATCTATTGGAGCAGGCTTATAGCAAGCGACCGCACCTGTTCGCTAACAGGAAGTCGACGTGCACCTTCAACGATCGAGATGCCCTGATTCGCAGATGCGAGTCGCGCGTTTTGCCATCGCGTAAACCGATACGATCGTCCGAACGTACCAACGGTGTTACCGACGATGTTAACACACCCCGGTGCATTGTGCAGCATCCCATGGAACGATCGAGGATTTCGCGATCCATCAGTCCCTTGAAGCGTAGCAGCACTATGAAATCCGGCCTTGACACGCTCGTGACGAAATCAACCGAGGCATCGGTAGACTTCAAGCTTCCAACGAAGGAATTTTTGCCAGGTAGAAATGACGAGAAACACGAGCAGGACGCTCAACCGGCTAAGGATAACGAAAGAAATTATGCATCGAGCAAGGTGAAAATAATTGTTAACGAGATCGAATCTCAGGAAGATATTATGCCGAAAGAATATCAGCCGCAAAATTACCTTGACTATCCGTCGTTGAGCTTCGAAAAGAAATTGGATAACGCTGAAGAAAATCTCGCGGCCGGAAAGGCTGAACTGCAGCATCCGTTGGATAACAGTGTGGATCCACTAAAAATGTTTTATAACAGACCCGAATTACCGCTTAACATGGATCGCGGATTTGTCGACGAGTTTAAAGAATCGCAGGTTTTCTTCACTCTCGGAGGAGAAGATAAATCTTCGAAATTGCCGTCGAGAGCGAGGCTGGTTAACAACTGTCAGTGCTCTTACACTTTCACAAAAGGGGTACCGAGCACATCGGCGCAACTTCCGGAAGGTGTACTCAGAAAGATCATTCAACGAAACTTTCCCGAGTCATCGAAGAGCATACAACCTCCACCGGGAGCAACGTCCGAAATGAGCGCAAGATCCATTGGCTTCTGTTTAAAGTGCAATGGTCAAGGATACGCTGCCTCGCAAGATTACGATGGTAGCAAACAAGTGTTGGAAACACCGACCAACGCGACGGAAGTATTGCGCACGTGCGGAAGTTCCGAAAGTGGTAGAAGCATAAGATTATCGCGGTCAAACAGTCTTGAGGCTCTAATGGAAGCCAATAGCGTCGTCGAGCTACCGATGCCACAGTTAGTATATTTTCGATAAACTAATATCCATTAAAAAGCAATTTTTATATTAATTTCAGATTTTTTTGTCATAAAATCGTGGAATTAAATTAATTCAAAACCAATCTCTAAATTTTTGAATTTTATAGACTAATTATATTTTAATTCCATGATTTTATTAAAAAGCATTATTTGTCTTATTATAATGATTACGTTGCAGGTCGAGGAAGATTTCAACGAGTAAAGGTTTACTCAGAGAAATGGATTTTACGAAGACTCTTGTGCGAAATAGAGTGACGAATGACGAGAGTAACATCCTGGACACGGGCTACACGTGGGGCTTAGTGTTACAAGGCGTAACTAAGAGGAAGAAGAGGAGAAAAAGAAAGAAAATTTCGGAATACGAGAAGGACAACGCCGAGGTTGAACCGGAGGAGAAGTGGTGGTTGCATATACGAGAAGAAGTCATGGTCAACGCTCAATTCCCCACGATCGATCAACCAGTCGCGGAGGCTCTCTGTGTGCTGGCTGATCTGGACACGTGGCATGTCGGGGTCTTGTCAAACAACACGCCCTGGCAAAGTCCGCCCTTGACGGTCGGAATGTCGCGTCTGGTGTCAAACATGCTGGAATCCTTTGCCTATGTATGGCGAAATTATCGCTCTCCTACTCATGTGAGCTGTTCTTCAATAATTTCATTAATCATCTTTTTCATGTATTTTTTTTCTAAATTATTCTTTTAAAAATAAACTAATGTTTCAGTGTATAGCAATTCTGGAGGCTAAACTGAGGGAATTATGGTTGAGAAGCGAAGCATTAGCAGAAATGATGATGTCCGTGGAAGTGTCCGACGCCAATGTAAACAATTTAACCAATGCTCTTGATCTCGATGCAGCCGACATACCGCTTCTACTTGCGGTCGCGAGCACTCATTCTCCGGAAATAGCGCAACGATTTGGTTTTACGCTAACTTAAATCCGTTCAATTGTTTATACTGATGTTCTGCTTACGTGATTTTATAGATAGGTATTTCTTAAATATAGCGTATCAATATGCGCTCTGATATTTTTTGACCAAAAAAACTAACTTTATATTTTTTGTCGAATACGCAATAATACACAATAATAACGTATTCTTACGATTAAATGCATAGTAATATGTAATATATTTAATTTTTAATTTTAAATTATAAATTACGTTAAAAAATATTAAAGTTTATTCGTGGCCTAACTATTATTTGTTTCAGCGTCTTATTGCGAATTACATAACTATCGTCTAATGAAATTGACGACTGACTCTGACTATGGAATCTGTACTGTCCGTATATGGTTTTTTTTTTTTACACGATTCATGCGAACTTATAGTTGTACACTTAATTAATAAAATCTAAATGAACTTTTTTATTCTACTGTATTTTTTAAAAATTCCTCACAATCACAGTATATTTTAATCAGTTCTATTCGATTATTTAATTTAAATAAATTACATTAATAATTAATTAACAAATTACATATTTTGCTGGTATAAAATAAATTCTCAAATTTTGCCATAAATAATGTAAATAAGCTTTAATAAAACGAAATTATCCGTTCTTCGACGATATTGAAAATCTGTATCTCGAAGTGGTAGTGAATAACGTCACACGACTCGGCCGTTTTACATTTTTGTTACTATTTAAAATATTGAAAAATTATGACAATCTAACTAAATTTCTTCGCTCTATTTTTGTGATATTCCGATGTGAGATACCAGCATTGATATAAATTATATCATGGAAATCTGTCCCCCTGATCCGTGAGCTCTGACACCGCAATAACTCGTTAATTGAATTTTTATTTCGGCATCATATATATTTCTCTCATACATTCATAAACGTATATCATTTTAAAATAATTACTTGCCTTAAAATAAATACTTCATAATTTTATCACTAACAGACCTAAACCAACTGCGCAGCAGTCAATTATTGAGGCAAAAAATAAAATTCGGGTGAGCTTATAGAAAAAGATTACTCTCTAGTACTTGTATTCAATATCTTAATAATTTCTTTATTCAATCTACATTTTACGTTTTCTTTCTCGAATATAATATATTTTAGCTAGGCCATGATGCATGTTGCAACTGTTGCTGCTGTTGTATACCGCAGCCCATATGCTACGTAAGTTGGCATGTTCTAATGTTTATGCAATCGTATTTATGTATTTATTTATTTTAAAGATATAAATTAGAGAGAAAGCAAAAATTATTTTTACAGAAATATATTCAGCCAGAGGTATCGAAATCTTTCGCACCCGTTAATGTAAGTAGTTCCCGAAAAATTCAGTTTTTCTTTATTTCATAGAATAGCACGTTATTTTTAGCCTGAGATGTATCGTATTTGACATATATTTAATTGAAAAATTAATATTCGAGAAAAAAATGTTTCTTTTTCTAATCTGTTGGATTTATAAAGATATATATTAAGATTATAAATATAAAAATATTTTTGCTAATTTTCCATGACACGAAATTACATTTGTAACCTTTTTCTAGTATTATTTCAAAACGGACATACCAATGGAAAAAGATACAACGTATCGACTCTCTTATTGGGAGGGTCCCAGTAGTACGGTAGAACCTATCCGTCCAGAAAACAACCTGATATGCAGTGACGCACCGATATCTGACGAAACAACGCATAACGTATGATAACATTTTATATTTATGATGATTTATCGACCGAAAGTTGATTGCTTTTTCAGATGAGTTATTTTGGCAACTGGTGCGTGAAAACGGAACCGCCTATAACACCCTGCGACAAACAGTTACTAGGTAGAGGTCCGATGGAAAATGTCACGACACATAAACATGATTACTCGTGGAAATATGTAGATCGCGTTCAACCGACTAAGGCGCAGAATAATTTGTACAGTCCTTGTGCTGCTTTGTCCGGTAATTTCTGTCGCACTAGATTTTTAAACTATTCATTAATTTTATACAATTATAATTTAGTAATTTTTAATTTTTAATAAAGGTCAAATGTAGCATCTTAATTATGATAAAATTTGCCATGTGTGTTTAATTAACTAATTATACGTCGAAAAACAGATGATACAACGTATCGCTTGAGCTACTACAATTCCTCCTGTTTGCTTCCGACATCCTCTTATGCACCCGTTTCAAAATATGTCAAATCGGATGTACCGATGGAAGGTTGTACGACATACAGACTTAGCTATTGGCCGAACGAAACCCCTGTAAAAGTGAGTGATTCAAGCAGTGATTTTAAAACCTATTGAATTTATAATTTTTAATAAACTACGAGTGTGTTCTTTAATAGTTTATATTTTTAAATAATATTTATTACCTCAAATTATATTAATATAATATGATTTTTTTATTAATTATTTATATTATTTATATGCAAATTAAATAAAATTAAATTTTATATATATATATATATATATATATATATATCTATTATGTATAAATTATAATTTAAATATATAATTGTTTGTTTCTTCAGGAGGAACCGTACGCTCCAAGAAGAGAATATTATCGCCCGATGACACCGATGGACGGATGCACAACATACAGACTGAGTTACTGGCCCCACTGTGAAAAGCCTACCGAACCTTTCAGCCCGCACGAAACCGAAAACTTGCTCAACAGCGGTTGCTGCTTTGACGACAACACCACGTATCGGCTTAGCTATTTCGGGTGTGGCGGTGACAAGCCAGATCCCATTCGCCAATCTGGCAATATCATTTTTTCGCCATGTCCGCTCTCTCACGACACCGTCAATAGGGTGAGTAAACTCATGCAGAAGGTGCATCGCACCTTCACGGTGAATTCGATCTACGGATGACACACTAAATCGGGTCGATGGTCACATTGTCGAATGCATTATGCGATGATTACGAGATAATTTTCTTGAATTGCCTAACAATCGTTGCGTCGCCTCGCAGATTGATTCGACAGTCATCTTTTTATCAAGCCGTAATGCTATTGTAACGAAATGACAACAATGAATATTCCCGTAAGATTGAGGACGCCAATTAGTTTTATCGTTTCAACATCGTAAAATAATGTCTGAAACGAGATAATCGCTCTATTAATCATAAAATTTATTTACAATCGGAATCGTCGCGTGCAATTATTTTTTCGAACTACGTCAATTTGATTTTGAAATTTGAAATTTTATGAACCAATCTCGCTTTTGTTGCAGCTGAGTTTCCTGGGTAATTGGTGCGTCAAACAGGAACCGCCTATCACGCCTTGCGAGAAGCGGTTGTTAGGCAGAGGCCCGATGCAGGATGAAACTACGCAAAAGCATGATTACACTTGGAAACAGACGATCCCGCCGACAGAGCTTCGACCTGAAAACAATCTCACTTTCTCGCCTTTGCCATTAGAATGTAAGTTACGTTATACACATGTAGGTTTTTTAGATAAAATCTCACTAAAATTTACAATATTTGAGGTTCCTTTCTTATTAAAGAATCCTTGAACACTGTGTGATTACTCCATATAATTTTTTTAATTCCAACGTATGATTATTTCAGCCTGCACGACCCATAGATTATCTTACATACCGAACAATCATGAATGTCTGCTGCCTAATAAATCGTACGCACCCATATGCAAGTATGAGCATTCTGGCGTTCCAATGGAATCCGAGACTACGATGCGATTGAGTTACCAACCCGTGGAACCAGCTGATCAGATCGAGAAACCATGGGTCATGACTACTGCCTATTATCCAGCTGTTAATCCTATGGAAGATAATACTACGTACAATCTAAGGTTAGTGTTTCTCTTTGTTATTCAATTTAATAATTGAATTTTTCATGTGATTTCCATTATATCTTTTTACCGATTTATAAGTTTATAAATTTATAAACTTATCATTTTTGTTTTAGCTACATTCCGCCTGGAACTCTCGTTCCACTGCCACCTTGTTCGTCCTCTTGTCCCTCTATCTCTAAGGCTTACGGAAGTAAAGTTCTTATAAAATTCCTTAATTTCTCTTAATATTATTTTTTAGATCAAATTGTAAAATTGAGATCTGTATTAATTAATTCTAGTGTCTTTGCAACAACCTTGTTCCGCATCGTAAATAGAAAATCGGTAAGCGAAGTACATCAAGAAAAGTGATACAAATTATAATATCTCTTTTTACGATTTTTCCAGAGATTAAATCGTACGAATGCATATAAATGCAAGCGTCTGCGATGTGTCTTGTACATTGTTGTGAGAATAAAATGTCCTTGTTCATGACGACTTTTTAATACTATACGTTAAGTTATTTTAAAAAATCAGCAAATGGTTAAAGCAATTTCACAATCGCGCTTCTACGATTATCGTAATCATGAACGAATAATTGCTATGTGAAACTTTGTTCTTTTTAACTTTTTTCTCATAACGAAGGAATAATTACACAATGTGAGATGGTGCATACTTTGTTCGGTGTAACAATTACCAGTACATATTGTGTAGCATTAAGTATTATGTATAACGATTGCATCATAATTGATATTCCACGATAATCGATAATCGGTTTATCCTCGGTTATATTTCATCTTCCGTGAGAGATGCTTATCAGATATTATGTGCATATATGCAAGAAGCTGTGCTGTAACATCGACCAGACAACATAATATTCGAGATACCTCTAGGCGTAAGAATATGAATTTTGTCGTGTCGAGCGAAAATCAACGGCTCCTCGCCGTGAAAGTAGTTAGCATATTTAGTAGTTAGCGTTTGCGCAATTATCGCGTCTTCTCCTTTTATAGGAAACGCCTTTTTAATTAAAACACTTGTAATAAATCATCTTAATCTTACATCTGATCGGATTCTGTTAATAAATTAATAATACAAATGACAGCGTAAGACTATGCAAGAAAATTGAGCGATATATAACATTATTACATATGTATGATTCTTCAGATTGAATAACTCTTCTCATGATTATTAATGTATGCACATGACTAATACGAACGGCTGTACTTTCGCTAATTTTCATCTCCGCAGTAGAGAATTTCGATTATTTAAATATTTAAATAAAATGATTGATTAATTCTCATATAAATAATATAATAATAAATAAATCATCGTTATTTAATTACGAGTTGGAATGTTTTCATCATAAATTTCAGTGTTAAAAATTAATTAAATTCTCTGCTTTCGAAGCTTGAAAAATTTGGGAACATAATTATTGTTACTTCAAGCGCAAAAGAATACATTTTCTCAATAAAATAGAAAGAAACACTCGAGAGCAATCCGAAGGCCGCGTAACAACAAATGCATTGCGCTAATCGGAAGCGCATTCGCAGGCCGTTGATCGTGGGCTGTTGCGATGGCATTATTACGTGCATTCTGATGCATATGTAAGTATGCATATTAGAATGTGTTCCTCGCCCATTGTCTTGCTGGTCTCATAATTCGTAAAACTACGAAAGTACATGGATCCAAAGAGATCATCGCACCCACGATTCCATTGGAAGTGACATGAAAGTTTCGAATCATTCGCGATGACAATGCAAAAATTAAGAAATCCGGGTGTTTAATATTACACGAATCATGAATCATAAGTTCTTAATTATCGCAAAAAAATACTCTCATAAGTTACCTTAATATTATAGATCGAGATATAACGTATAATGAATCATATCGCGATACAAATAAATGAATTTATTAATTAATTATTTAGAGACGTGGTTTTATCACGAAATGAAGTCGAGCGCGACGTGTTTTAGCAGACAATAGGCAGCTATTGGAAAGCTATCGAAAGAACGGTGATAGGTTTCAGCCAAGAGTAAGGTCGTCTCGGCCAATGGGATAATCGGAGCAGGATGATTCTTCGTAGCATGATCTCAGGGAGGTCTCGACACGATCGCTCGAAGGAAGCGACGATCCCACACACGCACTCACTTCGGCAAATATGTAGGCTCTTCTCTCCATAAAGCACACGAAGCATCTTTCGAGGCCTCCTCGAGTAGGGGTAAAGTGAGAGTTGGTATAAAAGGGGATTTCTTTCCTCTCCTGGGATCGCAGTCGATCTCGTTGGTTTGCGACCATCTTCTTACGTTTATACTCCTCCATCGTACTTCTGTCGCACGTTCACGTCGATTTGTCTTGTTGCAAGGTGCACGTCTCGTGAGTCAGGATGAAATACGTGGTAAGTAACCGCGAGAACCTTTCTTCCGGAAGACTTCCGGAATTCAATCAAGCGCGATGCGGTTCTATCTCCTCAGGGTAGAAGAAATAACATGTTCTTCCATTGTTTTCGATTATCTTACTGCAGATCAAAATATGTATATTAACTGCTTTCTATCAATGTTGAATAACATTAATTCTACTCTTTTTATTAAATTTATTACATTCGTGAAAAAAACGATATTGGACTACAAAAATTTTCTTTATTACTCTTTATTACTTTTTACTACTTTTTAAATTTATCTAATATCCTCTTTTTTCCAGAAACAGAGACAAATCAAATATATATATTATAAAATAAAATTTATTGACTTGATAAAAAAAATAATTTTAAAAAATTTATTCTAAAATTTAATAGAGTTTGAATAACTTCAACTATAATAATGCAAAAAATTCTATTTAAAAAATGTATATTTAATCAGAAGACTTATCTGACGTAAGATAACGAAAAAAGTAATACTTGTAGAATTTTAAGATCTTGTCATCATCATCGTCGCATTGCGACACAATTCGCATTTATTAATTTGTATGCGTGAGATGCATCGTTAAAGTGACGAAATAATAAGAATAACTGTGTGGGATTATAAAAAACCTAGAGTTTTACATAATCTAAAGACTGATATGAATCGCTAGTTTTCGAAATCACTTTCATCAAATATATTTACATACATTAACTCGTAACTGTTTTTATTAAAAAATTCTGCAACAATTAATATTAATATCTGCGCGTATTACATTATCTTTTTTTCTCTTTTTTAATAGTCATAATGCAGATGAATCGATATTGATAAGTCAATTATAAATCTTGTAATAAAATTACAAGAAAGATTGTTGTAGAGATAAGTTTCCGATTCTATTAATAGATATAAAATAGAAGTGATAATGGGACAAGTAACGCGATATCAAGAAATATAGGAGGGGTTCGCGATGGGTTGGGATGAAACGGGACGAACCCAACGGGTCAGGAGTTAAACGACCCGTGCTGGCATTTGCTTCTTACTTTCACTCATCTCCTGAGAGCGCATCGCCCGATTTCGTAGCAGAGAAACCGATAAATCCACTTTGGCATTCTTGTTACGCTCTTCCGTGTCGACTCTCGTCGATCATTTGATCCGCTAATCCATCTAATTTCAGAATGTCGATTAGAAAGGGAACAAACTGACGTAATTTGAACCTAATGATATAATGTTTTTACTTAACCACATAATTATATCGATCGCAATTCTGCGTTTTAGAAAAATATATCTTAATCACGCATTTTCACAATCGAGACAGGAATGTAACATTTGGAATTTTTTTTCAGGCGTTAGCAATGATTCTGGGATTGGCGGTGGCACAGGAGCCAAATTATCATGGACGCAATAACTATCAGCAGGATGATGGACAACATGTCGACAATAGACGACCTACATCTACTACGCCTATCCCGATTTTGCACTGGAACAAACAACAAGAACATGATGGAACATATAAAACTAGGTACAATCATATTTTCTAAAATAATTTTAAATTCAATATACAATTGTCTTAAAAGTATTAAAAAATCAATTATTAAATAAATAATTAAATATTGCAAAGATAATACTAACTAGAGTATTTTTGAACAAAAAAAAGTTTTCCAAAAAAGAACTACATACAATACTAAAAATAATGATGTAAAATTTCAAATCTTTGAAATCTCTTGTTTCTCATATAATATCTCGCCTTTATATATATTGCAAATATATTTCGCCGAGACAACGTTTTATGCGCTTTATATAATTATATATCAGCCATAATATTCGTTGGACGAAGATTCGATGTAATCCCAAAAACGCCGACGCAATACCGTGAATGGGCTTCATCACTTGAATTCGTCTTGAATTCGCATAAACTTCGGCGAGCATTTTAATATTATGTAATGCGGCTCGATTTCTGAGCCGCACGTTTGCGCAATCGATTATTTAACACCCTGGCAATTTGGATCTCGCAGTTACGAAACGGGTAATAACATCATTGCCGAGGAAAGCGGCTACATCAAGACCATCGGTGAAGGTGAAGACCGGGCGGAGGCGATCGTTCAGCAAGGCACCTTCTCGTACACGAGTCCCGAGGGACAGCTGATCACCATTCACTACACCGCCGACGAAACTGGCTTTCACGCGCAGGGCGATCACATTCCCACGCCACCACCCGTTAGCCCAGAGATCCAGAAAGGCCTCGACCTCATCTACGCGGGCATTCGTCAGCAAGAGGTAACTATACTCACCTTTCCTCTTCCGTCCAACCCTCACTGCCGCCAATTGCTGAAGGATCCTTTTTCCTTAGTGACGCATTATTCGAGATTTCGCGACATTTTTTCAGCTAGAATCTAATCCTGATAAATTAATTTTATAAGATTTTATTATTTTTGGTTTGTAATTAAGAAAATATTTATGCAATTAAATTCTCAATTTAAGCGCTGCTTGTCTAAGATAGATATCAGCATTTAAAGCTATAGGTAGGTTAAGGAATATGAAAATTAAAGAATTTTTTGCAAAATTACTCTAAGATATATAAGAGGAGATAAAAGGGGAGATTCATTCATGGTGAACGGATAAGGGAAAGAAAGAAAAATAACAAATGTAAAAGTTTACTGCTGCATTCAACATTAAAATCCATTCACAATTTCCTGTCCTCGATTATCCCTACTTGGTCCTTTCCTCTCTCACCAGTGCTTATCACTTCTGTTCGTGTTCACATTCATGTTCACCTTTATGGAAGACGTTCTCCTCGATCTTATGGGAAGAAACTTCTGTTTCGTCAGAGCTAGCATAGGTCACGGTTTCCACAAGCAGGATTTGTGAAAAGTCACTCAGTTATTTCTATATATGTATACTACGTGAGCGCACTTGCAAAATCGTGATAGCGATCCATATCGATGAAAAGACTAAAGATCGCTACATAGTATAAATGACTTGCGCAAAGAGAAGAAAAAGCTACTTGCTATCGCACACGGTTTCCTCTCGACCCTCGTTAATCATCATGTCACTATAATCGCACATCAGCTACCAGTTTTCTTCTGCTTTTACTCTCATTGGAGTAGAAAACTATAATCTTATATGCGTTACAGGAAGCGTAACATAAATTCATGCCGAGAGATTTGCATGCAATTAAAATTGTTTCACAGACCGCGATAATTATTAATATTCTATCACAACACTGTCGAATGATTCATTAATCGTATTTTATATTTCTATATCTTATTTAAAAAAATAAAAGTAGCAATTTTTAAATTCAAAATTACAAAATGTGAAAAAAATCGAAATAAAGGTACTAAATCTTGTAAAAATATGATTGTTTTTTATACAATAATGATAAAGATAATTCTAATGCTTACTTGTGACATTCAAATAAACTCCATTTAATTCCGATCAAAGAATTTTTTCAAATAATCAGACTTTGCATTAAATTTCTCATGAAACTGCTAGCAAAAGCAATTTATTGTTATTAATTTTTTAGGAAGAAGAAGCTCGCGCAGCTGCCGTAAAGTCGCAACAACCATTCAACCAGCAAGTTGATAGGCGGGACGACTACAACAGAAAGTATCAGCAGTGAGCCATCGTCAAGCCTCTTCCGATGTAGCGTATTTACAGCACTGTATCGTTATCAAAAAAATAGCAATTAAGTTGTTATATATAAGTTACGTTACCCCTTGCGCGTTCCGAATACACTCACCCATTATGTGTATACATTTGCAGTAAGAGACATCGCTTGATAAGTTCGTCTTCGTTCTTCTATTCTTCCACCATTGATCACGTCGATCTTTTCTGAATGTGACATTATCATTGATGATTTATCCCTATCTCTTTTCTTTCTTCCTTTTTCTCTCTTACTCTCCCTCTATAACGGAGATGCCGTCGTAATTGTGCTCTTTGAGTGCTGGGAATTGACATTTCTTGTTGCGATAAAGAAGAATGTCACAAGAGAAACTCCACCAGCGACCTAATCTAATCGATTTTACACTACATTTATTCATAGTGCTCATTTCTATATGTTCTATATGTAATAATTTTGTTTCTTCAATGTGCGAACTCTTGGAATCTCGACACATTTTATATATTAATACATATTTCCTTTTTATATCATATACAAATAATTGTTTTTTTTATATAATTATGAAACAACAACAAAATTTTTGAACCATCCTTTCTTCTCTAATATCTTCTAATTTTTTAACTATGTCTTAAAATATTCTTTATATAGCATTTCGCTTTTTTATATGTTATATAATTTATTTAATATTTCACATTATTTCTTTTTTCTATCTCTGGATTATCATAGAAAAAAATATATATTTACGAAAGCATTAAATACAATTTTTCGACAATTTGTTCGTATCTTGTCAATACAATTGATAACAAAAACAGAAAATATTTTATATAAAAAAGAATCAGATAATGCATTCTTTGAATAATCAAATAGACTATCTGCCAATTACACATTTCTACAAGTTATCAAACGTACATATATTTATTCTCATGCATGTTTAAATCATGTATAAATCTATACATGAGCATGCAGAGATATTCAATAAATTTTTCATAAGATAAAAATTATTGATATTTCTAGTGCAAGCTATAAACGTTATATAAGCGATCGATAGAAATCTATCGTTGATCCGCGCTTAGAGATGAGAGAAAACAGAAGGTAAGAGGGAAGCTAAAAGAGCACATTTAACGCATGCATTTAAGCAAAGCGTCTTTATTGTTAGTTTCATAGTATACATAAATCTATATAAGGGTGTCAGTCTTCGAGCGAGAAGTCTTCTTTTCAGAGAGAAGAGAAAAGAGAGCGCACTTTGAGGCCAGTGAAACTTTTCGAGGTAGCACGTCAAGGCCGGTGAAACTTTAAATGAAGTATGATAGCAGAATAAGCAGATGTTGGTGCTTCTGGATGCACGCTGCATTGTCATTACAATTATACGACAATAAGTGAGATGCGGCGTGCAGGCTCTAGGATTGCACTGCGTGACGTGATATTGCGTGAATAAATATTTTTGTATTTACAAACGCGATGCACGCGATAATGCCGTTCCCGTTGAAATTGAACAAATGACATAAATAATAAGCAAAAATTTGAGATTCTGGCATTTGTTTAAAAGTAATTACGATAACTGTATAATATAGAGTCATAAAGATAGATTTATAAAGAGTCTTATAAACAAATAGATTTATAAAGAGATTTATAAAGACCAAGTATCTCTCTTCAAAAAAGAGTTCAAATATATTGAGAAAAATGTTTGTGACACATAATACTATCACTTGGCATAAACGAAATGTGCATTATCAGAATAAAATCACGCGTTTACGTGATATTCTGGTATCGAAAACTCTTATCTATATATTTCAGCCGGGACTTTCTTGATATTTAAATACAAAATTAATTTATTTCATTTTTTAGCAATTTCAACAAAATTTATTAGCATACACTGCATAATTTTTGTCAATTTTTAAATAAAATATAATAAGTTGCATGCGCCGGAAATAGAGTGTAGCTAAAAATGTTAAACTTGTTACAAATGCCGACAGTATTCGGAATCAATGTGACATGTGTTATAATTTCACATCAAACATAGTCTCAATGAGATGTGATCCAGAGTTTTTTAAACTTTCAATTTTTTTATTAATTTAATTCTCTTTGCAAATAACACTTGCATATTTTAAGTAGATTTTTATTTACTCGATCTTCGTAAAAACTATTTCATATATCACATGTTTGACATTCCGTGCAAAAACGATTATTCGCTCTCGCAATTATTACGAAATAAGTTAAGCACAAAGCGATAGCTTGCATACAAATCGTGTTCCTTGACCTCCAGACAGATATGTTGATGATGTCGCTCGCCAGGGATTTTATAATCCGCAAATCGTAATTAACTACGAGCACAGAGTGGAACGGCACGATTCTCATCGTCATATAAAAGAACGGAAAGTGCGCGATGTATCCGCTTTTATCTAACAATCAGCACCTTTGTCACGACTTAATAAAGTTTAACTTAACGATTAACTAATCCTACGCGGTTCCTTTGTCGTTTGGCACGAGCGGATACCTTAAACGACGCAGCAGATTAATTAGTACGTAGAAATATTCAGACGCACGCATTAAACTAGAAGAAAAACTACGTTAGCGTCAGCAGAGTAAGAGGTACAAAGCTATCAAGATTTTTCCGAATCTGCTGCGCTGAGTTAATCCTACAACGCGTAATGAGAGACGATATTATATATTTTTACAATTAAACATTTTTAAGATATAATTAAACATGTAAGTCATCAGTGCATAGATAATCTCGTAATTCATAAATTTGATATTTCGCTATGGTGAAATGCTTTGCTAACAAATAAAAAAAAAGATAACGCGTTGTAGGATTAATGTATGATCCGCTCATACCAAAATGCCAACCTATTCTATTTTGATTCATCAGGTGGAATTCTCTTATCGTAGTTCAATATTCGCCAACAGTGGAAAAAGGTAAAAAAAAAATAAAGATTTTGTAGAGAGACATGTAGGAATTTACATTGAGAGATAATCCATTTGAACAAAATTTTTTCTGAAAAAAATGTTGCCATTATATACTACTTCAACAATATCTTGTATAAATGAGAATAAATTTTCTAAGGTATCTCTCGGTATGAAAATGTAGGTTACCGAAGCTTACGCGTATGAAGCTTATACGCGAAACAATAGTAACCGAGAGTCTTCACACGCTTCATAGATCGATGACGCAACTGGAAAACTTGGCGAACATTGTCTAAGACAATTTTACAATTTTCCATTTTTTTCAAGGAAGTCCCACCGCGCTTCCCTGAAAACTAAATCTAGTCCAGCATGGCATCTAACGTCGTCTCTTCGCGGTATCCGATCATCTGCTCGCGATAATAACGCAACAATAGCAGAACGACGAATCAGGAAATGAAGTGAGCTACCGTCGTGAGATTCTCGATAAAAGTCTTTGTTTTTATATCTCGCTCCCTCTCTCTTCTTTATTATAATATAATCCATACTTTTTTCTTTCTGTTAAACTTTTTTTCCCCGCATGCGATCATCTCCTGATTCATTCGATCCTTGCATTCCTCGTAACGCTATATTATTTCGGATAATACTGGTAACCGTCGGCAATGTTAACACAACGGAATCGTACAGAAAAGGAATCGTGGCACTTGGAAAAATGTTATATAAGAAATGTTGGTGATCGAGAATTCTCCGTCGTTATTCTTTCCCATGGAAAGTAGAGCGTTTCTATCTCTACTCGCGAGATTCTATTGATCATTTTTCCTGCTTTCAACATTCGTCGGTTCTATCGCGGCCGGAAAATCGGCGACGAACGAAAAATATTCTTCGGAGAACATCGACAACGGGCAACAGTTGAATTCGATGAACGGTCTCGTTATCGAGATCATCGAGTCGAACCGAGGCCGTTCAGCGTCGATGCAGTATCGGATGCGATGAGTTCCTCGCGATAAACGTCGTGCTACAACTATTACGACGAGGAAGCTTTCGAAGAGGTTCTCGAGACACGTGTCCTGGACAGATCGGGCGGAAGCGGATCGTAGGGCGTCGCGTTGAAGCCGACGTATCGGTTGTTCTTCTTGTGGAGGAATCCGCCGTTTACAGGATCTGTCCTGTAATAAATCACGCGTCTGATACCGAACGGATCGATGTAGCCGAACGAGCCAACATTGTTGCCGAGGGGCTCCCGTTCCTCTTCGTGATATTGTCTCCTCAGGTAATACTGGAAACCGTTTGCCGTGGTGTAAGTGCCATCGTAAGGCGGGAACTCGGCCAAAGAATCGCTCCGAGAAATTGGACTCGGCCTGTTGGAGGAGCTGATAGCAGAATCGTAAGGAGCTTCAAGGAGCTGAGTCGGTGGTCGAGCTACAGATCCGCGATAGTAAGGTCGTTGATAAGTTTCCAGACTCTGTAGTCCAGATCCAGAAGAGGAACCTCGATTCGAATAGTAATTGTTCCCCGAAATCGAGTAGAACGGTCGAGGTCTGATAGTCGTCGGAGTGTAATAACCGGAAGTAATATCATTATCGGATATTGGTACAATGGCATTAGAATCTGGTCGCCTGTAAAACATGAATAAATTTTACTTTAGCAAGCTATATTGTAATATATTAAATATACTTGATAAGTCTTTCGATCATTCTTTACCTGAAAGGATTAGGCGGTCTTCTGGGTCTAGCCAGAACTCCAGTTTGTGCCGGAACTTTCTTCGCTTCCGCCACTGCATCCTGGATAGGTCGATCTTTACCCACATAAACCATTTTTGATCTAAAAAAATTCCGACGTTTCGTATGAATTTCGAATAAATTTTGTCGTTATAAGTTAATTTTGTTTTTGGTCGAACTGACCTTAATATCCGGAATCCCTCGTGATCCGCTATATAATCCTTTAGTCGTAAATATCCGAGAGGGTCCAGCCAGCCTTCCGTGCCGATCACCGTCCCATCAGCCAACCTCTTTTCTTTCCTATACTGACCGTTTGATGTTTGATAGCGAAAAAACCTTTCTGGGCCCTCATCGGTCTGAATGTGATACTGGGTGTTGGGATTTAGATTCCAGCCGCTTCGTTGGGCCTCGATCTCGTCCGCTGTCAGACACAGCGCCGAAACCTGCAACGTGAATCTGCTTGAATCGTTTCCGCGTCAATCCCTCATTAATGCTATTGATAGAAAATAGAAGCGTCTCATTAGAATTTTAAATATCTATTCGAGAGATTTTGAATATTCATAATCAATATCCATTACACTTTAATTACAAATAGAATTTTTGTTAAAGATTAAAAATAATTTAACATAAAAGATTTTATACGTACACTTTTGTTTTATTTTTTAGATTTTATTTTAAACGTACAACAAATACAAATAATTACTATGTTTTATGTACATAATTTAATATACTATATCTAACAATATATTTCTTTGAAATTTTACTGAAAAGCTATAGAAAGATTCGATTACTGCTATGATAGTAAATTAATTTATATAATAATTTAATTTATTAATTTATTGCATACAACAAATGAATCATATAATTTTGATATCTATCTCTATTGCAGAGAATAAAAATGAAACATGCTGGCCAGATGTTTTAAAATATAATGGATCTAAGATCTCAAAAAGGAAGAGCACACACGCGAATCCCTAGTTAACTGACGACAAACTGTGCAAGGGATGCGAGAAGCTACGTGAAGCATCTCTTCGCGAATTAGTCAGCATCGTTTCTCAGGCTATGAGAGAGAGACCTGTCTCTCTTTCTTCTTCATGGTTGTTTGTAGGCGCGGCAACATAAACTCCGCTTCGCCTGTCGGTCGTAATCACTCCATTTACGGCGTTACGACCCGAAGACGATGAACGTTCCGTTTCGAGACTTCAGACCAAGCAGACTCAAGACGACTCGTTTTACTTCGGCAAATTTTTCACAGCATTTGATGGCAAAGTCATGCTGCTTTGCTCGTACATGAGCATATATCACATCACGATTGGCAACAAAAAGTTCAACCACTAAAAGTATATTTACGCGATAGCTGAATTCTTGTTATAAATTTAAGTCGTTAAGCTTTTGTAGAGAAGACTTTCTGTACATTGCGTACGCGTGTATTCTTTAGATGTTGCTCTTTATGTTGCTAACTTTTTTATTCTTTTCATGATCGTTTCAAAGGAAATACAAACGCGATAAAAAGAGATTTTCTTGAAATTAATTTTCTTTTTATAAAAGCATACGCGCGCGCGTAAAGAATCGTAAATTCTGATTGCGAAAAAAGATTAATCGATGATATCCGACAATTATTAAGATCACAACTTTCTTCCTCTGCGTAGTATAAATTATTTTTACAACATTATACCGACATAATAATTAAAAAAATACGCATTGTGTGTCTCATCTCGATTTATGTATAAAAATAAAATTTCCAGGTTTCAAATGATGTTTCGTTCTTGCTTGTCGTCATGATAAAAAGCTTGAAATCCGTATATTGGTCCATGATTCATGATTATTCACGCCTTCTTGTTTCGGAAATAAAATAGAAAGTCGATAAAAAGTCGAAACGTGTAACAAATCCTCATTTTACGCAGCGATATCTGGGACCTAGACCTATTCGCTGCGCGTTTAACCAGAAAATATACGCTACACTGTACCACAATAATTCCGACGACGCGGAGAATGCAGTGCCTTCTATCGTAATATCTTTCATAGCGGAGAACATTGCGCGCAAACACGGTGGTCACGTAAGAGATACTTATCCCTTCTATCGCGGATTTTGCGTGGGATTGACCAAGACCACGAGGTCCACCTCTCGTCGGTCCATATTAAGAGATGCCGGGTCGACTGAGCGTAGGGCCGGCGGAGTAAGTATTACGCATCAAGGTATTTTATGGAATAACCATTTCTTTAGGGAAATTAAGAATAGCGCTAATATTTGCAAAAATATGAAAAAAGAAATATAGATAATTTTCCTTTAAAAAATGTTTTCTTCTATTAAATTTAAAAAGTTTAAAAAATTATACGCAACATATTTGATTTTTTTCAAAAATATTAAATATAAGTAAACATTAGATAAATAAAACAATATTTGTGCAAGAGTATATCTACATGCAAGAATAGAATAAGATCAAGTTTTTCTTAACCGATTAACTCTATTCCATAGATATCTTCGCGAATGTGATTTTGTTTTATGGGACATATAGTGTAGTGTCAAGGTACGCTACAATTGACCTTGGACCTTCCCATATATCACACATGTGCTTAATACCCATCGCGTTACTGCATTTCTTCGCTGGAAAGAGTTCACACTCGAGATTGCTTTTGTATCCTTGAAACTGGTTCACTTGCTGCGAGGCATTTTAACTTGAAAAATGATAGTTGTTGTAGGAGTCGGACTCAATGTTAGGTCGACATCCTTGAAACGAGCATCCTTGAGAGACGATTTTGTTTTTACATACGCGCGAGGCATTCTGATGAAGTCTTATGGGTAAGCATCTTTGATCTACATCAAATTGATTATCTAATATTCTATTTATAGACTAGATATTTACGTAAAACTCTTCGAAAGATCCCTTGTCGATAGATCTTATCGATTCTATCATTTCGATATTGTCTGTATATGCAGGACGTCTTTTTCTGCATTCCTTTCTGATATGGCTATAGTCTAAACTTTTGAGAACAAGAAGAGACTATAAGAATTAGAATCTGTAAATCTCATGATATAAATTACCTATATAGCTTTTATACATTGTAGGGTGTAGCTTTTCTTTTCCGGAATTCGCAGTTCACTTTTGTTATTGAAAGAGAATACACATGAATGCTTTTCCTATACCTATCTTCGTCAAAATTATAGTGCTCGCAAGCAATAAGTATTAATTTTCTTTCAAGCGGAACTGTGTTTCTTCTTCCTAATAATATCATGGAGGAGAATCGAAATGTCGTATTGTCAGAGTCAATGAAAAATATTCGTTCATTTAGTTTAGTAAAAAACTTTGTTTTGTAATGTAAGCTACAGGTGTTAATTTATAAATGTACATGTTACTCATTATCGCTTGCAGTAAAACTTTATAGGCGTAGATTAAAGCTCATTCCCTTATGTACATTAATTAAAATTACCTAGAATTTAACTGATTTTCTTTCTCTCCTCCTCTCTCTTTCCAGAGCCACAAAGAGAGATTCATGAGAAAGTAATTTAACAGTATCTTAAAACGAGAGAACGTACAACGATCTTCTCGCCTGAACCACGCCGCGTTAGTGAAAGAGTTATTCTACGGATAATCACGATCCTCCCAGGCCGGGATCGTAAACAATCGAGAGGAGGAATAAATTGCGTTATGTATCAAGGACTCAACACAGTGGCACGAATTTCATTCACGTCGTCATAATAGGGCGCGATTCGCAAGAACTTGAGAAGTCTAGCGCACGTTTCAAACCTCGCCACGCATCATTTTCATCTTCTTAAAGGAAAGGCGTCGTTTCGGCCGGCGATTCTGCACGAGGCCATCCAAGCTGCGCGATTAACCCGCTAAATTATCATTGCACCGTCCATTGTCCCGGCCGGTCACGGTGATTTCACTTCTGTACAGAAGTCCGCCGCGGCTCCTTTCGCTTGCTTCCGCTGCGCCGTTCTCCATCCACGCGATCTCCTTACTCATTAAAAACACTTACGCTCCCCCACAATTCCCACGTGTCTAATCACGTGATATAATCTGGCCATTATAATTGAGTTGCGCCCGAGAAAATTGGCAACATTGATAGCCGACAATGAATTCGGTATACTCGGAAAAGAAAATGACTACGCTAATTGCACAGGTAATTAATTAGTGATTAAACAAATTAACGAGATCCTCGCGGTCGATCCCTTTCATGATTTAACTGACAAGATAATTAAGTTGACATTGACATGTTTTTATCGCTTAAATTATCATATATTTAATATACATAATCATGTTGATCTTACAAGCAGTTTGAGCACATTTATTCTCTACACAATTATTTCGAATAAATAAATATTTTAAGAAATCAAGTGAATTGGGTGGTTAATTATTAGAAAGTTTAATAATTTAAATTTTATTTTATTTCTAAACTATTATATTTATTACATTGTGTCATACTATAAGTTACAAAAGCTATTTTGTAACTTATATTCTGAATAAGATTGTACGAGTTATTTGATTTTGTGTTTTATTGTCATTTATTTGAACATCTTCCACATTGTTCAATGTCGTATTAAAATTGAATTAATTTATTAATAATGCGCATTGTAGCACAGCGTAAAAAGCTTTTGAAATCTCGCATAAAGTATTTTTCGCGCTCGTGGTATGCAGCGTCATCGTTGGTGGCATCCCGCCGTGATCCACACTGCATCGCATACAATCGTAATATTACAAGTCGTAATCGTAGATCGTGTCGCGTGGTATGCGCGATCTCGTTTGCGATCTTACTTGGTATTCGAGGAGCGTCGGCGTTTCATGAACGCTCATCGCGACCTTCGCACAAACGCGCGCGCTAATTGATATTCGGAGCTGGCGATATTAATTGCCTTCGCGTACTTTTGATATTTACGACACAAGAATCAATGAGCATTTTTTCAACGAATATTTCATGTTCCATTCATTGTCAGTTCGCGGCATCAATTTTGTTGCTCATCATATATGCAGTAATCACTATTAAGGCTTTAATACCTAAGCTATTCGAGCTATAATCTCTTCTTAGTATTTAAGATCAAAATGTGCTCCCAATTTTATTCAAATACAAATGTCTTCTTATTATTCTCCATCGGTACGATTACATAAATAGTAAACAAAATTAAAAATGATAAATTCTCAGTTTACAAAAATGTTCTATAATTCATTAGATTATTTAAATTACGTTGAATAATAATATTAAATTATTTTTGTTAATGATCATATTTTAATTAATTAATATTGTAAAAACCGTGATAAGAGAATTCAATTAACAATAAAATTAACAAGAAAAAGGAAATATGTCAGAATAAGATTACTGCAATAAAAGAATATCGCGCCTAATTAAATCAGATGAGACGTTGTTAATAAGCTAATTACTAATATCTAAAATCTTATTTTCTCACAGCCTTTTAATTAATATCCATTCAATGAAAATTATAAGAAAAAGATATTTTTACTTGTTAATTTGAATAGTAATTGTCATTATTCTTATTCTTAGAAAATTCAACATTCTTGTAAATAAGCTGACAATAAGTCTATACATACATACATCTCAATGTATATTTAGCAATTAATGTTTGATTTTTATAATACATTAATGTTTCAAATGCATTTCTCAAGTTAAATAAATATGCCTAAATGAACGCAAAAATATATAACAAAACTATATAATTGAATACATTAGTTGTGAGTCACTGCGTTAGAAATAAAATGATCTCACAAGAATGGACTTTAATCTATGAACTGCATTGTCAGTTACGTGTGTATTTTTATTTGCATATCATCCGACCACACGACCAGAAGAGAGAACGTCCTCTTCTGTTATACTTCTATTCACGCGATTTTCACGGTACACGAGCTCGTGCATCGAACTCTCTCGGAGTACATAAGAATAGAGTCGGATGCCTCTTTCACGAGCGCATGCTCGAGTCGACTTTCATGAACGCCTTCCACAAATCATAGGTGTCAGTTTTGATCGGACATACGTTTCGCGCGAAGGTGCGAATATACACGTGATAAATTGCACTCGATGAGTGTGCGGAACAATCGACGGTAAACCGACACAGTGCTTACGCAAATGAGCTCGAATCGTCATCGTTAAATATATGCAAAGTATTGTACGTTCTCTTAACAATATATGGACGTTAAACACTTTCAATTTTTATCTAACGCTATAATTGTTCGATGTAAAATAGAAATTCGAACAATATTATAAATCGTTACAAAGCTATACTTAGACAAGTTTTTTTGTAGATCATATGTATTTTTCGTATTTAAATTCTTCTTGAAATCTTTCAAACATTAATTATTCTAATTTTATTACTTTCTTGATAGAATAAGTAGAGGAAAAGAGAAATCTATTAGAATATTTTTATAATATTTATGTATAAATTGATTCAACAAGAATATATGCACATAAATTAAGTTTGTATTTATATGATGATCAAAGCTCTCTCAGCAAAGTGAGCAATTTTATTAATGTCATTTTATGAAGTTTATCTTCCCAATTTTAAAACAGCGAGATTACGTAATAACTCTTTTGCCGGTTACTACTGGATGATTTAAGAAACCGCGCATAATCATCAGCTCGCGACTGATGATTGAGAATCCTGGAATAGCGTCGATGTAGAATTTCAATGTCAATGAGAATCAAACGTTCGTAACGTGCAAATCTATGAAAAGGTCAGCAACCTGACTTTGGATACGTCTCTACCAAGTTCAATGTCAATATCAGATTTTTCTTTATTAATCGCATATTTAATTCGATATTATTGATGCACTGTAAATATATGCAAGCATTAATAAGATAAAAATTAATAAAATGTATGAAATAATTTGTTTTATGATATCAAATTAATTATTATTAGTTAGATATTTTTTGCTGGCTAAAATTAATGTTATATATATAAAATGTGTGTATATTAAAATAAACGCAAGTTTATTTATGCATTTAAATCTGTAAATCCTACCGTTAAGAGATTGAGGCAAAGACAGGTTCGCAAAATCATGATCACGCCGGTGCAACCTTGCAATTTCCTCGGGGTTTCTTGTTTATCGTCTTGGAGTAATCACGGTGATCTCGTTGAGGCCCCAATAGGATCTTTTATTTCTTACGCAAAAGTCACCCGTTTACATACATTACTATCTCCAGCGATTAATCGCATAAAGAAATTTCTCGATCGAATAATAATATCTAAAATCTATATATAGATAAGTATCTCCTCTTAATCACGAAGCAAAGAAACGAGAGATCAACAAATACAGATTTAATCTTTCCGCGGAAGAAAAGAGGAGCACGTGATGTCGCGGCATTGAAAAATGTGCAAATATCGAAAATGAGAGAAGGGAAAATAAGAAGCACACCCACTTTCGCGAACCGGATGTCTACGGAACGAAAGGCGGAAGAGGATAGCGTCGACGAGTCATCGACTGCGTCGATGTCGTCGAGGCGGACCGGATGAAGGCGATACTATGACTGAGAACCGGCGGTGTCTCTGCATTTTCAGATCCGCTGTACGACGGACCTATGCTCCTTCCTTCGCGACCATCCCCCTCCGTAAGGAGACCGTTTTTCCCGACGACCAAGACCGCACTCGCCCACCATCGAGTACTCTACATTCGCGTTGTATGATGCGTGCTTCAAAGACAGGTCTGGAATTATTAACTGAGAGCATGCGTAATCGTTGCACGTGATTTCGCGGCGATCCTTTCAAATGACGTAAAGGGGTGGCGCTTCGATCCATATAAGATCAAGACATCTTCATCTGGATTTCTAGGATTTTTATCGTGCTTTATAGTAATTAACTCTCTTAAAATTAAATTTCCAATTTTTTAATAACTCAAGTATTTGTTTATTATATTAGTTTATGGTCTAATTAAAAGAGTCTACATAAATGCCATTAATAAAATTTGAGGAAAGAGAATGAGGAAATAGTATAATAGAAAGTATTTTCGAGAAATATTTTGTGTGTAAAATATGTAATATTCTTAATTTTAGACTTCTTTTAGTTGTTAACATTGTATCGTTGAGGAAATCATTGAGTTTATGAGTCTTGCATTTTTAATTCGTTGTGCATGACTGACAATCGTTTAAATATACAGACGCAAATCGCAAATAGCACGCGATCTTAACGTAATATAGAGGAAACTATATGAACAAGGAAAAATACATGATTTATATGAAATTTATAATTGTCTTCGATGAAAAAGATCGAGGTCCTGCAAGATTGTATTCTTATTAAGATATTATAGAAGATTGTTATAGCTTGTAATATAGTCATTAATTGTACTATAATTAACAATCTATAAGAGGTGGATAAAAGAGAAAATTATTATTAAAAAATTATTTTTTAAATTTATTTTAGCTGACTATAATTTATCGTATAAATGATATATGTATTTTATATATTTTTTCTTCTATTCTTTTAAAATTTTTATTATAAATAATAATAATTAAAATAATGTATCTTTTTTGAAATTGTTTCATAAATAATATTTTGCAGAGAAATATAATGAATCGTAATTATACCAATTACAACTCAAGGATATCATTCAGGATGTTATAATCAATCAAGAATACTTTACATATATTTTCTATTTATCAATTAAGATTTGCATATTCTTTACATTTTTTAGCAAGTCAGAAAAAATTAAAATGTGCATCACTTCTAATTACATTATATTGAATACATATTCTCGATAAAGTTCCCAGGACCTCGACAGTAACAGGAAGGAACGTTGCAGGTTTATGTCATCTTGCATATTTGCGTCATCTTTGGGTCAAGCAATCATCGTTCCGTAATCATGATTCGCATTACCCGTAATCATCTGACGAAACAAGCCCCACCAATCTAATGTTCGTTTTTAGTCACCGGAAGAATTTGTCATTTGCGTTAAAAATTGCATCCTCTGTAATCTCGCGTCAACTCAAAACACATATGATGACTAATCGTATGCGTCGCCACATACATTTCTTCTTCGCATAAATGACTAGCAAAATATTATTCATGTTTCCTATTTTGCAATAGACAGCATAAAGAATAATTTGTGATAATTGTTTTTTCTTTAAATTTATTTATCAATATTGTTATATTCATAAAAAATTAATTCTCTTTTATTTTTATTTTTTTATTTAATTATATTTAATAATTTTATATGTATTAAATTTTTAATATTATGTACTTTCTGATAGAATTACTTATATGGAGAGAAGGCGTAAGAGGATGCTCTACTTTTACGCATACAATGAATAATTATAAATCCGCTTCGATTGCAACGTCATGTTTTTGGGTTAAATATCAACAGATTATTTTGCGAGAAAGCGTAGAGCTTGTAAAAACAGTCATCGAGTGTTTTTATCGGCAATATATATAGAGGCTCCGATATTATCGAAACAAGCAAGGAAGTCGCACGATAGAGTTAAATGAAGCAAATAAAATTTCCTCTGTGAAATTAGTACGAAATTATCTCTTCGGAGATCTCACTATGATCCAAATAAATGATTCTAACATGATGTGAAATCTTGTTTTGCCGCGGATATTCAGTTTCCTATCGTTGAAGTGAATGGTATCGCGTTGGGACGTTAAAGATGCAAATGATGTAAATTAATAGCATCTGATGCTCTATATATGCGATACGTGACACTTTTGCGACGGTTTACATTATATTTATTTGATATCGAGAAACCGAAAGTGTGTTCAAAATATTCTGAAGCAACATTGAGAAAGCTTTAAAATATTACACAAAAATTGTGTGGGATGGAAAGATGTAATATACACAATCGCTAGAAGAAATAATCATTACGTCAGTAAAACGTCGCATCGTTTTATCATAAATATCTGCTGTCATTCATTTCCATTACACAGCGTTAAAAAATAGCATAGAAAATCGAAATACAGGAAAAAGGATTATAACAAAAGAGATTGTTAAAATAACTATAATCGCCTTTTAATTCGCAACTGATTATAAATACATTATAAATAGATACCAAGAAAAGAACGTCATCAGGCACGTTTCTCTTTCATCACCGGCGAATTGAAAACCCCGCACGTCCTATCGCCTCTATACTTGCTACTTTTAAAAACGTCTTGTTGCCAGAGCAGCTGAGAGTGCGCGACAAGATCGCTCTCGCGATTGTCCAAGGCGTGTGGGAGTGTGCTCTATTCACGTCCCTTTGGAACAAAGGCTTGAAGAGAGCGAATAGTTTTTTGACCAGAACCTCTCTTGCTTTTTAACACTAGACGATTAAAAAAAAATTAGAGAGATATTCTTTGATGAATTTAAGATCAATTCGCTCTTAACAAAGGAACGTTGTCAAACTTTTTTACGCGTATAAATATTCCATATTTTTATCAAATCACTAAGTTTCCTTGAGAAATAAAAACATAATTCTATCGTTCACTTATATTGTCGAAAATAAAGTCTTACTTTTTATCGTTTCTTCTAATTTTATAATAAGCACATTGGTTTTTTATAGAATTTTATATTTCATCAGTTATTAAAGTACTAATAACAAAAGTCAATAAACTGCGAAAGAGATTAATTAAAAGAAGATTAATTATAGTTTTTTTTTTAATTTCACAAACACATTCAGAATTGATTGAATTTCGAACCTTATTTTTAATAGACTCATCGATATTAAGATCATTCTATCACGCAAACCCGATTCACGTTCTACCTTTAATCTGACAGTCGAGTAGGTATCTACTGTGTATTTTCTCCTTTGCTTGCCACGCTTACGACGCGGTACTTTCACTTTTACGAGCAAAGTCGAGAGCAGAGGCAATTAAATAGGCGCCAGCGTGTGCGTATGCGTATGTGATCATTTTTATAGCGAAATTTTTGGAATTATTCTTATAGTTAAAAATTAGTACACAACACATATGCGTACATACATACATACAGATTGCTTTTGCAATTATCTGCAATAAATTCGTGTACTATTCAAGAATAATAGTTTTTATTTATTAGTGTTTAAAGGATAAGATTATAATGAGCGCAAGCTCATTAAAATATTATTAAACTTATTAAAAATCATACTCAAAACTTTTCAAAATTAAAATTACTTGTTATAAATATATTTGTTTATATATATATATATATTTTTAAAATTTTTTAATTTAATATCTAAACATGTTTTATTTTGTTAAACAATGTTTATAAAAAGTATTAATTTTCTTTTAATTAATATATCTGAATTATTATGTCATCAAAATAATGGAGTTTTGTCAATTTGATGAAATTTTTATCAATATGATAACAATGATTGATATATGAATTATTATTCAGCAATTAAATGGAGCTCACGCGAGTTTGCAAGACCCGCAAGAATCATGCGTAAGAGAGTGCATATACCAGTACAGTTTTGCATTGTGCACGCGATGCAACAATTCGCACAGAGGAACGTCGACGAAATAAAATTCTCACGGCCGATATATATGCACACACAATCTTACGACAGGAAATTGATAAAATCATATACTCGTAATCCCGATGTGTATAAACGATACCGCCTGACATTGCGCGTATCCGCCACTAAGCACCCTCGTGTTGCAAGCTGTTTTCTCACTCTGTCTCAGTAGTCATTCATCTTAACATCAAATATCGCTATTACGTAGGCAGAAAAACTTCGAATATTTCTAAATTGACATTTTTATTCAGCATTAATAATCAGGCATTTTATTACACTGATAATGAAGCACACGACTTTCAAAAATTAATTATGTTATTAATCTTTTTATGAGGGAATAATTATTACGTCATAATTTTTAGAGAATTTGTATCTTCGTATAAAAAAAATATTATATTACACAATAGCAGCTATTGAAAAATGAATTAAAATTAAATAATATTGCTCTCATTTAGTGATATATTAGCGTAGAAGTAAAAAAATATAAAATATGTTGATATTTAAATGAAAAAAATATTAATCAGACTTCGAAAGTGCAATGATTAAAATCATCAGTATTGATTAGCAAATTTGTTATTGAAGATAATAATTAAGACTCACCACAAGCGGCAAAAGAGAGGCGAGTCTCCGCCGCATTCTGGTCTCTCAACGATAAACAGAGAGAGATTCGAGATCAATCAGTCGAGTTTGAAATTTTGCGCGAATCACGGGAGATTTTGCGGATGATCTTGTCGTGTTTAATCGTACCCGATCACTGATCAAAACGAAGCCTACCAAGCCGAAGCCAGATTGTACTTGCTGCCTACACACAAAACGAACCAAGGCTTCGTGTAGTTGCCAGAGTAGGCTGAACCCACACAATTATCTTTTAGAAATATCTACTTAGCCATATGTCGAATCAACGATTTTGATAGATAAACAATTAAAACTGATTTTGCATATAGCCTTCACTCTCTAAATATATACATATAGATAATTCCAAAATTTCAACATAATTATTTCACATAATATATATTTTTTATTAGGAATCATGAAATTTCAGACGCATTTTTCTTTTCCTCACAAATTCATCTAAAATAAATTTCAAAGCAAAAATATGAAAAATAGTATAACTAATTTTTTAAGCTTTTTATAAGCAATTAAAATATTTTTAGTATGT